CACCAGATCTTATTTGTCCCTACACCCAACTTGGGGCTCAAACTCCAAGATCAAGAGTTGCACACTCTACCACCTGAGCCAGCCAGCACCACTTACTCTGTTTTAATCATGAAAGTGGTATAGCTCATTTAGAAAATTGAGAAAAGAGGGAAAAAAATCTCAGGAAAATTAGGAAGTATTGGTTTCAGCTCAGTTATGATCTCAGTGTCCTGGGATCAAGCCCCATATCGGGCTTCCCACTCAGTAAGGAGTCTGCTTGAGATACTCTCTCTCCCTCTTCCTCTGCCCCTCCTGCTCGCACTCTCTCTCCATCTAAAATAAATAAATAAATAAAATCTTTTAAAAAATAGACAAGAAGTATCATAACTTCATTATGCAGAAATAAATAATTCGTATTTTGGTATATTTCTTTTTAGGGCCTCTATTTTTAAAAGACTGCGTCACTAATTTGTGTTGTTTTTAAATTCAGTTTCTGGAGTGTTAATAAGCATTAATCAAAAGCTTTCCATCATCCAGATGATTAATGTGAAATATTAGGTAATATCCATAATATTTGTGTTTCTTTTCTAGAACTTAATCAGAGATGTTAATAAGTTAGGATAAGTAATACACACACGTGATCCTCTAATGATTGTACACTGCCCAATCAATCATAGATTATCCTGACTATATTTTCCTAGTTTTAGGAATGAAGCGCAAAGACAGTACTTAGTTAAAGCTGCATTGGTCTTTCAGTCACCTGGATTCCTTGTTTGCTCTCTTCACCCAGCTGTTTGTTAGAATAGCTAACTTAGTAGTTAGTTAGTAACTTACTGCTCAACTAAGTAAATAAGCTTAGTCCACTTCCTGTTTGTTTAAAAGAACCAGCATGCCTTCACAGTTAACTTTGTGCATTTCAGGGTTTTCTAAGTGTTCTCAAAAATAAGAGCTAATGATGTCCGATATGGGTACATTCTCTTTCTCAAAATAAGGAGCCTGCTCCTTCCTCATTTGTGGTTGAGTCATCCCCATTTCCTCACAGTCAGCTGCATGGAGGCCTTGTTGCCCCTCACGGGAAGAGGTGCCTCCCCTAGGCTTCGCCTCAGGGCAGGGGAGACGTGGCCCAGCCTGGCCTGGAGCTCTGGGGGCTCTGGGCACCTGTGACAGGGACCTGCCATGCCTGGCCCCCTTGTCAGATTGCCTGGGGGCCAGCAGACGCAAGTGGGCAGGGCTCTTCCACACAGAACAGATCATGCGCAGAGCACACTTTTGACCTCTTAAAAGCATTTTAAGAGGCGAATAGGGCACCATGTTGAGAGGTCTGTGTGGACACGTCATGAGAGGGTACAAAACTGTATGTTCTTCCTTTTAATGTAATTTAAAAGTATGCAATGTATGTCCCTTGATAGAAGCTGCTGTGGAGACAAGGACAGTGCCTGGTCTTCCGTGGCGGGGTCATCACTGTGTTGTCCTTGACTGATGAGGTGTTGGGGAAATGAGGGGTTCTGGAGACATAAATTTCATGTATTTGGTTTTTGGTTTCTGCTTTGGTAGGCTTTTTAGTACTTACTGCACAACACCTCTAAGCAGACTAACTCCTTGGCTTTGAGGAGGTCAGACTTTCTGCAGTTGGAGCTTGTTTGTCCCCAAGAACTGTTCCCGTTCCCGGTGGGGCTCCTGCTCCCAGGGGTCCACAGGACAGGTTAGACGAGAGGCTGTGAGGGGTACCAGGGCTGCCAGCCTGACCACGTCTCTCTCCCCACAGACCACTCCCCATCCCACCCCACCACCCTCAGTCGCTCAGCCTCTCTTAGTTACCCGGACCGCACGGAACTCTCGAGCACAGCCACCTTGGCAGGCAGCAGCAACCAGTTTGGCAGCTCCATCCTGGGCCAGTACATCTCCGACTTCAGCGTTCGGGCGCTCATGGACCTCCAGTACATTAAGGTGAGGGCTCCTGTGTGTCTCCCATCTGGGCAGCGCTGTCTTCCTTGCCCTGGGCATTTGGATCAGTCTGCCTCAGGAATTAGCAAATCCTTTCTTTCATCCACCACATGTGGTATGAAGGGCCCAGGCCCAGGATGTGTCCACTTTATTCTGGCTCCTCACTCTTTCTAGAAGCTTGCAGAAACTCCTGCTGATCATGTCCTCTCTTCTGGACTCCCAGCACTCCCACTGGCTAGCTGTTTCCCTGGGTCTTGTGAAGTTTGCCTCTTGGTCCCTGCTTCTCTGTGAACCCCATCCCTTCCTCCTGCAGATCACTCGGCAACAGTACCAGAATGGGCTGCTGGCCTCACGAATGGAGAACTGCCCTCAGTTTCCCCTGGATGGCTGCACCATCTGCACGGACAACTTAGCTGGGAAGTCTGAGCTGCCCGTGGTAGATGAGACCACAACTCTTCTCAATGAGCGCAACTCTTTGCTGCACAAAGCCTCCCACGAGAGTGCCATCTGACAGGAGGGCCCGGGGCCCCCCGCTTGCTCTGCGGGGGTCTCCCCAGTGGGCCCACATGAAGATAGGGAGCCTGTTAGGCTGGAAGGGGTGCAAATAGCCTGTCTAACTGAGCAGCCAGGTGGCCCCCAGTGTGGGTTGTCTGGCCTCTGACAGGGACCTCTGAATAGCTCCAAGGTAGCAGCTGCCCAGAGCTGGACTGGCAGGACAGTGGGCCAGCTACCATGAGCAAGGCTGTTTTTTACTGAGAGAATTTCTGAACTAGGCTCACTGCTCCTCTTTTTAAATATTATTTTGGGAAAGGAATGGGGAAGGGAAGACAGGGTTAAGGAACTTTATTTAAAACAAATTTTTTTCCACAAAAACTTTAATTAAAAGGGGTAGGGTTTCTCACCCCGGGAAGCTATAGCCATAATCTGCTCCCAGCCATGACCTTCTGGCTTATGTCCCTGACTCAGGGAGCCCACTCTTCCTCCTCCCCTCCTCCCCCCCTCCCCCTCCCCCTCCTCCCCCTCCTCCTCCAGAGATGGTATCCCAGAGGCCTGCTGGAGGAAGGTTTTCTTTTGGGAGCAAGACAGTTCCTTTCAAGAAGCAAAGAACCAAATAGCGCTGAGAACAACTGCCTGGACACATGCACTGAGGCTTGTTTGATGTTGCTGAGTCTGAGGGATTCTGGGTAACTGTGATGAGGGACATGGTACTCCCAGCTACAGAGAGGAGCATACCTACTCCTGTCAACTGCTGGATCCTGGAATTTCCTAGAACTCTGCTGATGACTTTCCTGGTGAGTTGAGCTAGGCTGAGGACTTATCCCTGTCTCTACTGGTTTGATTCAAAGTGTTAAGCAGGGTCTCACACCTTTAAGATTGCTCACCCCTGTGCTCCCCAGACCCTGCCCTTTTACCAAAGGTTTCCCCCCAGGTGGGAGAACATCTACATTACAGGTGACTTGTGTAAGAAGCTCCTTTCATTTCCAGGAGGGAATCTGGTCATGGGCATCTGCGTTGTTAGCGATTTCATCCCCACAATGAAAGTCAGGTGTCAGTCACTGACCTATGAAGTCCCACTTTCCAGACTCCCTGCTTCTCCTCCCCAAACCGCATCGCCTCTTGGGGATTAAGGACAACAGGATACATCAGAAGCCAGCCTAAGCAGGTTCTTCGTGCCTTTTCCTCTGTGGCTGAGGCTTACCCAACCTTGTGCACACACTTAATAAAACCCAGGAAAGGAGGTTTCCACCTAAAAGGCACGTAGCTGGCCGTCCTGTTTCCCCCATCTGTGTAGTCCTAACCTGAGCTGTCATCCTGGCCTTTGCTGAAGCTAGTGGTACTGGATCCTGAGAGCTCCACCCCCACGTGAAATTCTACCCCAGTGCCTTTCCACTGGGGCTGAATTAGGCCCTGCTGCAGAGCTCCAGGCTGGCCACTGTTGGAAAGGCTGTGGGACTAAGGTCCACGTTGGCCCTTTTGGCCTGTTGGTACCTTTTGTCAAGTGGAACAGTTGCTGAGGGCCCAAGATCAGGCAAGGGAGACTGCACACCTTCCACTTAAGTAGTATTTATTGACCCTTTCCTCAGCCAGTGATTTGTCACCCCAAGTGCTCTGTTTTTCAGGCACCTGGACAATCCTAACTCTTGGGACCAGGAAGTGTCTTGCACCAGGTATACTTGCCCCTGGCCAGTTCTGAAGTCTTCCCTAGTCACAGAATTTATTCCTCAAAGTCTGGAGAGAAGGTGGGGACACCTATGGGTTCTCAGTCATGAGGGAGAAAAAAACACCAGACCTTATTCCCTGTTGGGGAAACCCCTCAGTTTTCTACAGGAGCAGCTTGCTTTTCGAGTCCACATGGGAGCTTGCAAAGCTATGTTCCTGAGATACCTGAGTGCCAAGTGGAGCAAACCGCATTGGCCTGAACCAAGTGAGTGTGTGAAGTAAAAGGAGCAGGTGCACACACTTCCACAGCTACCTCTTTGCACACACAGTTACTACCAAGAGATGGTCCCTCAACCCGCCCCTTTTTCCCACTTCTAATCACTTCTTGCAGAGGGTCATAATTATTTCCAAATATTACTGGTCCGATGACTTCCTCCTCCCAGTGCAATTTTTCACTTCCTATTCCAACCTCTGGTTCCTGGGCTGAGCCATACCCTGGAACCGGCCCACCCCCATGTAAGGGTCTTCCCATGTAAGGGAGACCTCCGCAAATGGCCTCCAAATGGGTAGGCAAGTCACAGCCACCATAGCAAATAACTCATATTTATTTTGCATAAGATTTTAATTTGTATATTTTTGTGATTTATTTTGGCATTGTTATGAGTTTGACTCTCGGGGAGTTTTGTTGTTATGACTCTTGTGTCTTTTGTCACAAGACAATGATAATATTTGCTAAACAATATATGGAATTTATTTTTGATTGGTAATAAAAAAGGAAATATGAAATCTTGGTGAGTCTACAATTTGCCTGTTTGAGTTCTGTTGGTATTCAGTACCTATCATAGAGGTAGTAGCTGTGGTTGGCTGTCACCTATGACAGGGCAAGGGGCAAGTATTCTGGGACTGTTTAACAATAGAAAGGAAGCAGAAATGAGATCTACAATGAGATCTATATAATCAAGGTTGTTGTCACAGCAGTTGCTGTTAGCTGTACAGGGCAAGTGTGCTCAATTGCCACAATGAGGAATCTTGTAAAAATGGACACCATAGTCTTCTGCCTGCAGCTACTGGAGGAGGTGGTTAGAGTGGGCACACAGCCCCTCCCCTGTCCCCCGGGGACTGAAGGAGAAAAGAGCTTGATCCAAAAGGAGGATTGCATTGTTTTGTAACATGCAGTTGCCTTTTTGTCCTTGCTCATGAACTGGTGGTGGCCTCAAAGTTGGACAGCTCAACCCCTGAAGAGCCCCTCTGAGAGTCACCCCACTGCATCCACTCCTGAGGTATCTGCGTGCAGACTCACGTGGTGCCCATACGCACTGTACTGTGTGGCTGTGGTGTGTAATCAAGTGTGCTGTGACCAGGGGCCCAGGCTAGCCAGGCTTACCAGAGCAGACAGATGGTGGCTAGTGCTTAAAAAAAGGATACACTTCGGGAGAAAAAAGGACATTTCAGATAAAATCACAGATGCAAAAGCTGGTGTATATAGGTAGACATGAGAATAAATTTCATCCGCCCATATGTTCCACACATGTGTTAGGTCCTGCTATGTGCCAGGTGCCACCAACCCCTCAGTAAGTGTAGTGAGGAAGAGTCCCTGAGGGAGACAGTCATGCCAGGACCTTTGGATTTCCTGTCTCCACCACATGGAACACTCTTCTCCCAAGTCTTTGTGAGGCTCACCCCCTCACTTCATCTAAGCTTCCGTTCAAATGTCATCTCCTTGCAGAAGACTTCCCCGGTCAGCTCATCTAAAACAGCGTGGCCTCAGTCCCTCTGTCCATTTATCTTGCTTTGTTTCTCTCCATAGCGTTTGTCAGATATGAAAATGAGGATTTGTATATTATCTTTTTTTAAAAAAGATTTTATTTACTCAGGAGAGACACAGAAAGAGAGGCAGTGACACAGTCAGAGGGAGAAGCAGGCTCCATGCAGGGAGCCTGATGTGGGACTTGATCCTGGGAATCCAGGATCACACCCTGAGCCAAAGGCAGATGCTCAACCGCTGAACCACCCAGGCGTCCCTCTTTGCTAATTAATAAAGTTTAAGGCACATAACTTTCAAGTATGTCATCCATTCTATTTCAGTGTCAACGTTTTATGTGGACTTGGGAGGCAGAAGTGTGAATCCATAATTTTTTTTCTTCAAAGGAGGCATGCTGATCCAGTGGAAAGGCTCAGTAGTGTCATTGCTTCTGCCGGCTCCGTAAGTGAGGCATAGCACCCTCTACATAATAAAAACCAAAAACATGGAGACATGGTTGGCCTAGTCACAGTGCTGAATTTACAATGTTGAAGAGACATTCTCACCATCCTTTGAGGAGTTTTTCACAAAGTATTTTTTCTTTTGATTATTCACAATGGATCTGCTCATTTTTGCATGTTGCCTTCCACCCGTTTTACTTAATTGTGGTCACAGTGCCTACACTTTTTCTTACTATTTTCATGACCTAGCAAATGTGTTTCTGTAGAATCCTTAGGAAAATTTTAAATGACATGTAGATGTGCACCCTTATCAAAGTCTACTTTTGTTAGGAAATTTGAAAATACACAAAAATGTAAAGAAAACATACAAAAACAATCTGGATCCTTGTAGAAAAGACTTGTTCAGTTTGTCTCATTCCGGTCATATAAAGATCATGCACAACGGATGAAAAACATTCCATACCGTCAATGAACCATACTGCCTTCTAAAGTAACTCTCTAGTAAGGATCCTGTTGAATAGTTCTTGTTCCCGAGAGATATTTTCCCAAGGATTATCTGCTAGAAGTAGAGTGGCCGGTAACAGGAATTTCTGACCGCGCTGCCCTCTGCTAACGTGGCTGGAAAGGTGACCAGGGTAGTAGGTCGTGTTGGATCCTGCATCCATGCTAAGGCACGCTTCACTTTTCTCCTGTAAAAGTAGTTTGAGGATCCAGTGAGGTAGCGATTTCCTGGGTTTACAGAATTACCGTCGTTCTCTCTGGCAGGAATGCAAGGTCCGTGAAGGCAAAGGGCTAGGTCTCACGTCCCCAGACCTACAGAGCACAGTCGGGCGCAATCAGCCGTAAGAAGCTTGAGCTTCCCGACGTCGGGGCACCGGCTCCTGGAGCTCCGCTCGCCCCTAGGTCAGTGGTCCGCGGAGCCCTTCCCCAAGAAACGGTGCGTCCGCCACTCACTGGAAGTCTGGCTCCGCGCCCCGGCTTCCCAGAGCGCAGGTGCGGCCTCGGGGCGCGCCGGCAAGGCCCGCGGGAACCGGCCGCCCGGGTCGCCGGCCGCCCCTCGCCCCGGGAGCCGCGGCCGAGCCCCGCGGGGCGCGCAGCCCCACGCCCCCGGCCCGCCCCGGGATCGCGCCGCCGCTTGTTTACTCCCCGGCGCAGCCTAGTCCGACCCTGAGGCCCGCCCTCGCCCGCCGCCTATTGGCGGAGGAGGCGCCAAGGCCGGCGACCATTGGGCCGGGGGAGGCGGAGGGGTAGGCTGCGCGGGAGGCCGAGAGGGGGCAGCAGGCGATGGCGGCGGCGGCGGCGGCGGCGGCGGCTCGTCGAGGCTGGTTGCTCGCCGCGCTGTGCCTGGGCGTCGCCGCCGGGGAGGCCGCGTCGGGCCCGCGGGTGCTGGGCGTCTGTCTGGAGGAAGACGGAGACGCGGACGCGGGGTGGGCGCGCGGAGGAGAGGCGCGGGCCGCCCCGGAGGCCGCCTTCCGCCTGCGCCTCTTCGGCTCGGGCTTGGCCAACAGCTCCTGGTCCTGGGTGGCCCCCGAGGGGGCGGGCTGCCCCGAGGGCGGGCCGGCCGCGACGCCCGGGGAGGAGGCGGCGGCGGCGGCGGCGGCGGCGGCGGCGGCCCCCGCGGGCGAGTGGCGCGCGCTGCTGCGCCTGCGCGCCGAGGCCGCGCGCCCGCACTCGGGGCTGCTGGCGGTGCGCGGGGAGCCGGGCGGCTCGGCGGCCCGGGAGGTGGCGGCCCCCGCGGGCGAGTGGAGCGCGCTGCTGCGCCTGCGCGCCGAGGCCGTGCGCCCGCATTCGGCGCTGCTGGCGGTGCGCGTGGAGCCGGGCGGCGCGGCCGCGGAGGAGGCGGCGCCGCCCTGGGCGCTGGGCCTGGGGGCGGCGGGGCTGCTGGCGCTGGCGGCGCTGGCGCGGGGCCTGCAGCTGAGCGCGCTGGCGCTGGCGCCCGCCGAGGTGCAGGTGCTGCGCGAGAGCGGCACGGAGGCCGAGCGTGCGGCGGCGCGGCGCCTGGAGCCCGCGCGGCGCTGGGCCGGCTGCGCCCTGGGCGCGCTGTTGCTGCTGGCCAGCCTGGCGCAGGCGGCGCTGGCGGTGCTGCTGTACCGCGCGGCCGGCCAGCGCGCCGTGCCCGCCGTGCTGGGCAGCGCGGGGCTCGTGTTCCTCGTGGGCGAGGTGGTGCCGGCCGCCGTGAGCGGGCGCTGGGCGCTGGCGCTGGCGCCGCGCGCGCTGCTGCTCAGCCGCCTGGCCGTGCTGCTGACCCTGCCGGTGGCGCTGCCCGTGGGCCAGCTGCTGGAGCTGGCGGCGCGGCCCGGGCGGCTGCGCGAGCGCGTGCTGGAGCTGGCCCGCGGCGGCGGCGACCCCTACAGCGACCTCAGCAAGGGCGTGCTGCGCTGTCGGACCGTGGAGGATGTGCTCACGCCGCTCGAGGACTGCTTCATGCTGGACGCCGGCGCCGTGCTGGACTTCGGCGTCCTGGCCAGCATCATGCAGAGCGGCCACACGCGCATCCCGGTGTACGAGGAGGAGCGCTCCAACATCGTGGACATGCTGTACCTCAAGGACCTGGCCTTCGTGGATCCCGAAGACTGCACGCCGCTCAGCACCATCACCCGCTTTTACAACCATCCGCTCCACTTCGTCTTCAACGACACCAAGCTGGACGCCGTCCTGGAGGAGTTCAAACGAGGTAACTGCGGGACATCGGGGAGGGGGCACGAATGCCAGCGCCCTCCGCTGGAAGAAAGGGCGGGGGGAGTTATGGAAGCCTCGAGGGAAAGGGTCCCATCCTTTGGGAGGTCGGTCCCTCCCAGGGCCCTTTGAGATGATGGCCTCACAGGGCTCAGTGGCCTCTTCGGGGCGCCCTAGAAAGCAAAATCCCCCTTTTCCTGCTAGGCCTGATTTGGGGAGCCGTGTCCATTTGACTCATCAGCTTTTTCCTTCAGGGTCATTTTTGTGGGCTTTGGCTTTGTTAACAGGCCTATACTCTTAAATAGAAAAGAGGATAGTCTCCAGACACCTGGATGTTATCACCTGCGCACACAGTGTCAAAATAGCTGGGCCTGTGAAGTTTCCAGGGATCGTGGTTTTAAGGTCTCTGATGGGCTGCTGCCTTGCTGATAACAGAAGGGATGATGCCTGATTTTCTGCAGGTGTGGAAGAAACTTCCACTTTGATTTCGCCAGAAGGAACCTTATGGATGCTGATTTAGTCTCCCCCTTTTCTTTCTTTCTTTCTTTTCTTTTTTTTTTTTTTAACTTCCCCTCTTCTAAGACTGAGTGAGATCTTTTGGTGTCTCCCTTAACTCTACAGTTCACCTCCTCTTACCTTGGTTTATCTGAGCAACTCTAAGGTCACATGGGTAAACATGGAGACCCAACCTCCAAGTGTGAAGGTGTGGGTTCCTCTGTAGTCCTCTCCATCCTAAGGCGTGGGTGTGCTCCCCAGAGCGTGGCTGCTTTTTGTCCACCAGCCATGCTTCTCACTCCTGCACTCCTACAGGATGAGGACGGCGGACACACCAGGGCTCTGGATGGGCTTGACCCTAAAGGCTGCATAATGTGAGGCTGGGAAGAGAGAAGATCCCCTGATCTTCCTGGCAGCTGTGAAGTCTGCTGGCCCCAGGCCACAAGAGTATAATTAGTCAGGGCTTGGTATTGAAAAGTTGGGCAGTTACTATCCTTACTGTACCTGAGGATTGAGTGGGGAGGCTTTGCTGTGCAGCTCTGACAGCTTGCTAGAGCATCTCTTGGGTGCTCATGGCTCTTTCTCCCAGAAAGTGGTCATGCAGTTCCTCTGTGGGGAGGGGATGCCCAGGTGGGGTCTCTGATCTCTGGTGGTGAGTACTCCATCTGGGCCATTGTAGTGCTCGAGGCAGTAGAGGTTCTTGTGGCCTGGTGGCCAGAACTGCCAGCCCTGGAGTGTGCAGAGGTGGGTTCCAGCCCGCCCCTGCCACATCCCAGCTTGAGACTCTGGGATGGCTGGACTGGATCCTCCAGGGCGCTGACTTTGAGCAGAGCACTGACTGATATGGAGAACAGTGAGTAGGGGGTCCAGCTAAGAAATGATCAAAGGCTGAACAAAGACGTGCAGTGGGCCGGGAAAGGAGATCCAGGACAACTTTGGGAGGTGGAATTGAGAGGGCCCTGTGGTTGGCTGAGGAGCTCTGGAGCGAGCAGGAGGAGCTAAGGGTGAGGCCTGGGTTTCTTGCTTGGGGTGTTGTTGCTCTTCCCTGAGGCAGAGCACCTACAGAGAAAGGAGGTCATAATGGTGGGGGAGGGTGGCACCTGTGAATTTGTTCTGGACATTGAAATTTGTCTATGCTGCGGCCCAATGAAGATAAAGATTTGGTTGGTGGTACAGTAGTGGTCCCTTAAGCCACAGAAGGGGTGCAAAAAGCCCAAACCCCTGAGGGCACAAGCGTATAAGGGGTGGAGGGTAACAGAGGAGAGCTGCTGAGGAGAGCTTGGGAGTTCAGAATGTCCTAGAAGCTAAGGGAAGAGACCACTTAACCAAGGGAAGGCAAATGATCAGCAGAGGCCAACATCATGTCATTTGGATCCAGCAGCCAAGATACCCTTGATCTTTGTAAGAGCAGATTTGGTGTTCCAGTGTGGGGTGATGGAGTGAACGGGATGTGACAGCTGACATAGATGGGCCTTCGTGGAAGTATGGCTGCAGAGTGGAAGCCAGAGAGCAGTGACAGGGAGAGGACTGGCAGGGGAGGAGGTCTTCTGCTCTTTATTTATTTTTATTTTTATTTTTCTTAAAGATTTTATTTATTCAGGAGAGACACACACAGAGAGGCAGAGACACAGGCAGAGGGAGAAGCAGGATCCATGTGGGGAGCCCGGTGAGGGACCTGATCCCAGGAATCTGGGACCACACCCTGAGCCAAAGGCAGAGGCCCCACTGTTGAGCCACCCAGGCATCCCTGCTCTTTGGTTTTAAGATGGGCAAGTTGAGAGGCACCTGAGTGGCTCAGTGGTTGAGTGTCTGGCCTTCAGTTCAGGTCATGATCCTGGGGTTCTGGGATAGAGCCTGGCGTCGGGGTCCTTGCTCAGCAGGAAGCTTGCTTCTCTCTCTCCCTGTGCCCCTGGCTCGTGCTGTCTCTCTCACTCTGTCTCAAATAAATAGAAGTTTAAAAAACAAAAAAGATGGGCAAGTTGACCGACTTTGGGTTTAGATGTTGACAGGAAGGAGCCAGTAGGGAGAGGAGGCCCATGGTCTAGGCTGCTCCTGTTCTGGAATGGTGGCCTTGAAGCAGCCCTGGGGAACCCGGATGTTAGGGAGCTCCTCAGTCCTCCACGCCTTCCTCCTCCGCTGACAAGTGAGGGCCATCTGAGGGCAAATTGGCATCGTCTTTCCTCTGACATCCTGGAGCCTCTCTCTGCTTCTCTTTGCAATGCACTCCTTCCTTTGGCAGATAGCTATTTTTGCTTAAAGTCCCTTTTAGCCTGACGCCCTTTCTTCATTCTGCTTACTAACAAAGGGCATATTGCAGCCTTTATGGCGCCTGAGGTACAGAAATCAGTTCCCTTCCCATCTCTGCCAAGTGTGTGAGGTGGTGGTGCCCTCTGAATTCCCTGAAGTGGGAGTCCTTCACATCTTGGCCGCCACCATCCCAGAGCACTGTCTGTTTGGAACTGTCTATCTGGGCGAGGCGCCTTCACTGGTGTGGCGCCCCTTGGTTGGGGTGCAGGCTTGAGATGTTACCGATTACTTAGGGCAGACAGATATTACCAGGAAGAGAGTGGACTCTGGAGCTGTAGTAAATAATGTGTCTTTTCTTTAAAGCTATTAATCCCATTGTCTTTGTCAACCTCCCAGTGAAAATATTCAAGGACGATCAACCAAAGGAGGAATGAGGATGCGTGAGCTTCTCAGAATCTCTGCTTTAAAGCAGCTGAGTTCTGGTTCATTGTCAGAAATCAGAGGATCCCCACGATTCTGAAAAGAGTCAGGCCCGCTGTGAGGAATGTTAGCCTAGCCCTTTTCTTCTAGAACATGTTCCGACAGTTGCTTTAAAAAATAAGAGGAGGCAGAGGAATTTAAACTCCATCTGCATTTTTACAGATGTCCTAGAAATTAGGCATTTTGAAAGTTCTCTAGCTTCCACCTAACTTATGAATACATTTGAGCCTCTTTTTTTTAAAATTTTTATTTATTTATGATAGTCACACACAGAGAGAGAGAGAGAGAGAGAGAGAGAGAAAGAGAGAGAGAGGCAGAGGAAGAAGCAAGCTCCATGCACCGGGAGCCCGAGGTGGGATTCGATCCGGGGTCTCCAGGATCGCGCCCTGGGCCAAAGGCAGGCGCTAAACCGCTGCGCCACCCAGGGATCCCACATTTGAGCCTCCTAACTAAATTAAAACTCTGTAGAGGTTTTTCAGGACTTTCTGGTTGATGCTGGTAAGATGCTTCATCTGCCTCTTGCCTGTGGCTCTGTGCTCAGGGAGAGCCTGAGGCAGGCATCTGTCCTGGGGCCTGTGGGTGTTTCCAGTCAGCCAGCGGGGGGTGAGGTGCGGGGGGGTGCGCACCTGTATTTTCAGAGCATATTATCCTCTTAGATGAGAAACAAACTTTTAATCCCTGCAGCTGCCTGTTATCTGTGTACCCCTACTGCTTTTCCATGGTTGCTGTCTGGACCCCCTCAGATATTGTCTTGAGATGAAACCGCATGGCCACCATGTCGGGGGACCTTTCAGGGGCTCTGCCTTCGTCTGTTACCCAGTCATCCCGGGTCACAGGTCACTGAGAATCTTGTGCCAGTTTTTTTTTTTTTAATTTTTTAAATTTATTTATGATAGAGAGAGAGAGAGAGAGAGAGAGAGAGAGAGAGAGGCAGAGACATAGGCAGAGGGAGAAGCAGGCTCCATGCACCGTGAGCCCGACGTGGGATTTGATCCAGGGTCTCCAGGATCGTGCCCTGGGCCAAAGGCAAGCGCTACACCGCTGCGCCACCCAGGGATCCCTCTTGTGCCAGTTTTACAGAAGTTTGCAAGCAAGGGAGAAGTTAGTCCGTTCTAAGGGTAACCTGCCAAAGGGGCTGGCATTCCGGAAGAATGGAGCTGAAGTGGGTTCTCTCTGCTATTATTATTATTATTTTTTTTTTTTTTTAAGATTTTATTATTGATGAGAGACACACACACACAGAGGCAGAGACACAGGCAGAGGGAGAAGCAGGCTCCACGCAGGGAACCCGACATGGGACTCTATCCCGGGTCTCCAGGATTAGGCCCTGGGCCGAAGGCGGTGCTAAACCGCTGAGCCACCCGGGCTGCCCTCTCTCTGCTCTTAGATGGTCATCTAGAACCTGGGCTTTGGTTCCCAGGATCTGATCAAGATTTTATGTTGATGGGGCGCCTGAGTGGCTCAGACGGTTAAGCATCTAACTTTGGCTCAGGTCATGATCTCGGGGTCCTGGGATCAAGCCCCACATTGGGCCCCCACACTCAAAAAAGGAGTCTGCTTCTCCTCCCTCTGCCTCTGCTCCACCTCCCATTTGTGTTCTCTCTCTCAAATACATAAAGTCTTTAAAAAAAAAAAGTTATGTCGAGCTTCAGCCTTCCTCATCTGGTCTCACAGATTAGATCACATAGCAGGGTTGCCTTGGCCCTCATAGAAGTGATGCCTGTCTGCCAGTGTGAACCATTCCCAGCGCAAATACCCAGGGGTGGGAAGCATCTAGAAATGCTATGTTCCTCATTCAGTACTTCTGTCTCAGTAGGAATGAGCAGATAGTTCTTTGGAACCCTTGGCCTTTTCCTCCTGGAAAGGGAGGAGACCGTGTAGTCATGTATGAGGATGTTAGAACATCCTGAAGAACACTACTTTCTTTTCTTTAGAAGGGCACGTGTGCTGGAGATAGTACCTTGGCCCAGGGTAACTCACCCAGAGGGGAGGGTCTCCTAAGATTTGATCTCTTGTTCCCCAGTGAAAGTGAGTTGTGTGTGGTGGTTAAGAGAACAGATTCAGAAACCAGCTGCCTGAGTTCAGATCCCGATTTTGCACTTGGGTGAGCCACTGAGGCTCCCTTAATCTCTGTTGTTTCTGCAAATTGTAAATAAGAGTAATACTCTGTTCCTGGTAGGTTGATGAATAAAGCACTGAAGCACTAAAAGTTGCATTTCTTCAGTTCACAGGTGTTTTGTTTGTCTTGTATTTCGACATCTCTGTGATAGGATGTGTCTCACAATTGATGGCATCTTCAATATGATGACTTATATACAGTAAATGTTTTCTTTTTTACAGCCTCATTCCTTTTTCTTCTTTTCTTCTTCTTTTTTTTAAAGCCTTCTCTACACCCAACTCACCACCCCAAGATGAAGAGTTGCATGCTCCACTGACTGAGCCAGCCAGGCTCCCCTGCCTCATTCCTTTCTTGATTATTTGGCCAGTGGTCTATTAATAATAATAGCTTTTGGTTGACTGGACATTTTCATTTTATCTAAATTTGGAGCAGAGGTCTTGCCCCTGATGCTGGGGGTGGGGGATGGATGCTGAAAGAATGAGGCAGAGAGCATGCCAAATAGACTTCTAGAGAGTGTGTTTCTGAACTCAGTTCGGTACACTGTAATTAAACCCAAGGTATGTAAAGTATGATTCACGCAAAGAAGTGAACTTGCCTTTTGCTTTACCAAAAGATTCTTGAAGCAGGTACTTCCTTATGTTAATCCAGGCTAGCTTTTATCCTCAACTTTTTTCACTAGTAATGAAGGACATAGCTGGGATGAGGTTCTCTGAGTTCCATATCCTAGACCTGCACAACGCCGTCCAGCAGCCACCACCCACATATGATTGTCGAGCTCTTGAAAGGTAACTGGGCTCAACTGACATATGCTGGAAGTGCCTAACACACCAGACTGCAAAGACTGTACAAAAAATATGTTTTAATTTAAAATTTTAAGAAATTTATTTTTAAGATTTTTTTTTTTTTAAATAATCTCTATACCTAACCTGGGGTTTGAACTTACAACTCCAAGATCAAGAGTCGTATGGTCTACTGACTGAGCCAGCCAGGTGTCCCTGTTTTAATATTTTTTATTTTTATTGTTAGATTTTATTTATTTGAGAGAGAAAGAGTGCTGGGGGGTGCGGGGCAAAGGGAAAGGGAGAGAGAATCTTAAGCAGACTCTGTACTCAGTGCGGACCGTGTTGGGAGGGCTTGATCTTGCCACCGTAAGATCATGACCTGAACTGAAATCAAGAGTCCGACACTTAACCCACTGAGCCACCCAGGTGCCCCTATTTTAGTATTTTTATATTGATTGCATGTTAAAATATATTGAAGGCTATATTGAATTAGTTAGTGTTACCAATTTCACCTGTGTCTTTTTTCCTTTTTTTTTTTTTTTTAATGCTACTCAGAAATTTAAAATTACATATATGGTTTACAATCTGTTATTTTTGGACAGGTGTAAAGTTTTATAGATGAAAAGTAGAGACAGTTCTTGAAGTTTTCTCAGCATTCCCCAGCACTCTGAGGTTTGGGCTTTGTTCAAGATTCCATTTCTTTATCAGACAAACAAATAGGAAGCTCACCTGAGGGGGGGGAAGGTGAATAGTTCTAGGCTGCTGCTCTTCCTCCCACATAGTCTGGGTTCTGACTGGTGCATCACCATTTATCATCTTCCCCCTGGATGACTTAATGGACCTTGGCTTCTGGAAATAAAGGACAGACAGCTTTCAGAATTGGGAAAACATCCTTAGGAGAGTCACTGGGTGGCCCCACACCGTTCCCCCACTTAGACTGCCCTAGGGGAGCCTGTACTTCTGGAACCAGTGCCCTTGTGCGTGTAGCTCTATCACATCTGTTCTAGTCTGACGTGTCCTTATCTAAACCACATTCATGTAGGCCCTGGGCTGACTTAGCTCTGCCACTGCCTGGTGGCCCCGTGCAGGTGAGCATGGTACCTGACGTTTAGGGCCTTGTGTGTAAAGTGAGGCTTATCCTCAGGAGGGTGTTGACAGTCTTACGTAAGAACTTAGGAAGAGTCTCCCCTAGTGCCTGGTACCTTGTGGGAACACCAGCAGTGGCTTCTGTCACTTGGGTGAACTAGTACCAAGTAGGACTTGGCAAAACGGGAGGCCCCTAGCAAGTTGTAATCTTGAGTGTACCCTCCCCCAGGGAAGTCTCACCTGGCCATCGTGCAGAAGGTGAACAACGAGGGTGAAGGTGACCCCTTCTACGAGGTGCTGGGCCTCGTCACCCTGGAGGACGTCATTGAGGAGATCATCAAGTCTGAGATCCTGGATGAGTCTGAGGACTACCGTGAGTCTTGACTGTCACCAGCATTCCAGTTCCACTGGCCTTCTAAGCCTACAGAGATGTGTGGTGTGCATCCGGGTCACTGAGACGGGGCTGGATCTCCAGTCAGAGCTGATCCCTAGCCAGGGTCTGGAGGGAGCGGGCTGTTGTCCCTTGCAGGAGGGCCCACACCTGAGAAGGATGAGGAGACTTGGTGGCTCGGATCAGGGCCTTTGCGGTGTCAGTGCCTCCCTTGGGCTTCTCTGGCGCAGATGGTGGCTCTGCCCTTCACGGGCCTTTCCCAGGCTTCCGTCTTCCTTGGCCCTTTGGCTTTCTCATGTTCTTTTCTACAGTACAGAAGTCTCTCCTCAAAGAATCTCATTCTTTACTGCTTAGAGGGTCTTTCCAAAACAGGATCCTGAGGCCTGTGATTATGTCTGAGGGTTGTCTGCCTCTTAGGAGGATGGCTGAGGTCTGAGGGCAGACATAGAACCCGTACGTGATGGCCGGGGCCGCATAAGCATACTTGGGACACCGAGCCCCCTACCCCTATTTACTATCAAGCCAATCGTTTTGCCCATGTGTCTCTCCCCCAAGTGCAGCTCTTGAGTTTGGTTCTTCACACTGCCGTGAGCGTGGGGATACCAGGCTAGCTGCTGCTGCATAGCCCCCGTAATCTGTAGATATGTGCCTTCTGGTGAGGGGTGTCTTCATGACCAAGGACGCCTGTTAGACAAGCGACCTTGGTGCCATGTCAATGTTCTCTCCCAGCTCGGAGGACAGGAATGGTCCCTTTCCACGCGTCCTCAGGATAGCTGGAGTTTGGGTGCTGCCCCTTCTGTCCTGGTACCAGGTTTGCTCTGTGCTGGGAGTGGCAGGCAGGCACAGCAAGGAGGAGTGCTGGGGAGTGTCCCCGGGGCTCTGACGCTGTCTCCCCCAGAAGAACCCCCAGGCTTTGGCCGCGTGCCTTGCTTTGGTCATACTGATTGGAGGGTTACTGATGGCGTCAGCGGGCCTTCTCACCATCCTAGGAGATGCCACTGTCAGGAAGAAGCCTGCTCCTCTGAGTGCCCCTCTCCGGCGAAAAGAGGAATTCTCCTTGTTCAAGGTGTCTGACGAGGAATATAAAGTGAAAATCTCGCCTCAGCTGCTCTTGGCCACCCAGCGCTTCCTGTCTCGAGGTGAGGGCAAAGAGTGGGCCTTTTCTTTGCCCTCTTGCTCACTGTCAGTGGGTCAGGAGGCCTCCAGGGCAGACCCCTGGTGCCCTCATTCCCAGTAAGCAGGAGAGGATCCAGGAGAACTTCTGTGCTTTTCTCTGTAGCCCTGAGGGCATCTCAGGGCGCCCGAGGGCAGCTCCTTCTGCCAGATGGCTGCAAGCTGGGCCAGGCTGGCGCCACCTCTGGCGAGCCACGGCAGGGAGCCTCTGCCGGGTGGTGTGCGGCCCGCCCAGTGTTGGGGGGGTGACTTGGCTCGTGGGGCAGCAGGAGTCGGGTGTGGTTGTGCAGGCCACTCTGGGCCCAGTGGACACTGTCCCTTTTTTCCACCATGGGGCAGAGGTGGATGTATTCAGCCCCCTGCGAATCTCCGAGAAGGTCCTGCTGCACCTGCTGAAGCATCCCAGCGTCAACCAGGAAGTGAGGTTTGACGAGAGCAACCGCCTGGCTGCACACCATTACCTGTACCAGCGCAGCCAGCCGGTGGATTATTTCATTCTCATCCTGCAGGTAACCGGGAGCCCACACTGGAGCCTCCCACTCGCTTAGACAGTAGGGAGGGGTCTGAGAGAGGGAGGATCGTCCACAGACAGAGTCCCTGAATAGTCGGGGCTGGTGCTTTCTCCTTGTGCTCTCTGCTGGCAGGAGAGGTAATCTGTCCACATGTGTCTCCCTCCCGCTCCCTACACCTCCCAGGGCAGGGTTGAGGTGGAGATCGGGAAAGAGGGCCTGAAGTTCGAGAACGGAGCCTTCACCTACTACGGAGTGTCCGCCCTGACAGCGCCGTCCTCGGGTAAGCTGCAGGCCACCTGCTTGCTGGGGCTTTCCAGGGGCCAGGATGTCGGCCTCCCCTTCTTCCGGAGCCTGCGCCTCCTGCCAGGTGTTCTACTTCAGGATGGGCTGGCTTTTCTCATCTCTGGGCCGTGGAGATGGGGAAGGGGCAGCGTCTAGGGCTCTTCGTTGCTTACTGCTCCCCCTGCCTGGCCTTTCCCAGGAGGAGGTGGGGTTGTCACCCTCTCTGTGCTCGTAGCCCTGTTCCCTCTCCAGAGGGGTCAGTGGGGTAGATCTTAGACACTGTGCAGTTGCCCCCACCGGAGACATCACTGGTTGTTCCTTCTGATAGTTCACCAGTCCCCAGTGTCCTCGCTCCAGTCCGTCCACCATGACCTGCAGCCAGAGCCAGCCGATGGTGCTCGCTTGTCTGCATACTGTCCTGACTACACCGTGAGGGCCCTCTCCGACCTGCAGCTCATCAAGGTGACTATGTTGGGTTTGTTTTTTTTTAAGATTGTAATATGATTTATTGACAACCACAGAGAACAATCAGGGAACAGCAGAGGGAGAGGGAGAAGCAGGCTCCCTGCTGAGCAGGGAGCCCCATGTAGGGCCAATCCCAGGACCCTGGGATCATGGCCCGAGCCAAAGGCAGAGGCTTAACTGACTGAGCCAGCCAGGAGCCCCAAGGTGACTATCTGGGCTGCTTGTCAGTGCTGGCTTTAGCCAGCTTTGTACCCCCACGGGGCTAAACCATCCGGTCCCGAGTTTGTATGGATTAAGAGTCAGTTCTCCCTGAGTCTCGGAGACTTGCCAGAGCAGGACTGTGCTTGCTAGTCCCGTTGCTGTGACTGCGCACCCACCTTCCTTTTGACATCTTACTATAGCACTGCTTGATTGTTGTTCTTTGCTCTTAGCTCACTTAAAGCTCTTCATTTTCTTGGTCCTGCTGAGTGTGACTCTCCCACCTGGTACTTGGTGGGAGGGAGACGAGTGTGACCTTGTACCTCCTCGCCATCCAACTTCACAGTGGCACTTGCCTAGTCATGCTTTCTGTCCCCCAGGTCACGCGGCTGCAGTACCTCAATGCACTCCTGGCCACTCGAGCCCAGAACCTGCCACAGTCCCCGGAGAACACAGACCTCCAGGTCATCCCAGGCAGCCAAACCAGGCTGCTCGGTGACAAGACAGTCCCAGCAGCAGGTGAGCCCCACACGGCCACATCCTGCAGTGTATCAGCCCAAGGGGGTGTGTGGATCCTGTGCCGGTCACACAGACTCACTCTATCTGCCCTCACTCTGCCTTGTGTTCTTCTTTCCTTGTCCCCCCTTTCTGTCCATCCTTTCCTTTTTTTCTCTTTTCACTGATGGCCCTGCGCTGTAGACCAGCTTGCACCCAGAGTATGTTCAGTCAGCATCTTCTCTGGAGGACCTATTTAGGATGGGTTGACTTAGAGAATAGCTGCTAAATGGGAATAAGGTCAAGTTCAGACACTCTTGGTCATTTAGCATTAGGGTTGGGTCACTTGGAAAATGAAGACCTGGGTCACTGGGGGCCTAGCTCAGAAGGTGGCTCGCTGGGGGACACCAGCTCAGAAGCTGAGAGAGGGCACCACTAGAGATGTTGTTTCAGGTCAAGCTAATATTTAAGGCGTGCCCCTTACACCCTGGGTTCCATTGTGAGCCAGAATATCACGTGAGAAGAAATAGACTGTGATGTGGGGTAGGTTGCAGACTAGCAAACCCTGCCTTTAAGAGTGTAGGGGGGGGGGATGAAAAGGAGCCTGTGGAGAGTGGGCTTTGGGTAGGAGTGGTAAAAAGTTAGGGAACTCTGTTGTCCTTGTGGCTCAGGAAGGTACTTTTGTTCGACTGAGCTCCTGAGTCGGGGTCTGAGATACTCTCCAGGGCCTGGACGGGGTGGGGCACAGGGGTTCCAGAGAGGCCTCCGACACTTCTGCCCCTGGCACTTCGAAATGGGGACACCAAGCTCTTGACGCCAGCTCTGCCTGGCACTGTGCTAGGAGCTTTCCTCATGCTCACTCATCTAAGAAAACTTCATTTTCAGAGGTGGTAGTTCGGCCTGTTTTCACAGATGAAGAAGCAAAAGCAGAGGGAGACCGAGGCACTGTGGCTTGGAGCCTGTGCCTGTCCTCAGCCTCTGGGCTGTGGTGTCTGCAGGGAACAGCTCCGGTTCCTTAGACCCACGCTTGAGAACGTGCACATGTCTTTGTGGTAGATGCTTTCTGAGAGGTGACGTGCAAGTGCCAGGGACAGAACGCCTGCCTGGGCCACGTTTGTGGCTCAGCCCCTGAGTGCTCCATCTCTGTGCGTTGATGAAAGGGGGCCCCGGCTTGAAGCTTGCTGCTCAGACCCTGGATCTGGGTTTCGGACCTTTCTCAGCGAACGTGCACTGAGACATGGCGGTCCTACCTTTTAGGGCTGATCACAGTTCTCTCTACCCGCTGTGGTGATCTTCCTTTTTGTGTGATGCCGCTTGTATAGAGCTTCCCACCACCGCATAAGCCTTGGGTCTCAAAAGCTGGTATGTTACTGTTTTTTCAAGATGTGAGCATTTGGTTCTGGTTTTTTTGATGTGAACTTTTTTTTCTGGCTTCATCTGCTTACTCAGACTGCACATGTTCTATACAAGATGTAGACTTAAATCTACGAATGGTGGTTTTTCCTTCACTTCATCTTTTATTATACGCACAAAGTTTTTTTAAAGTCCTTTTGTGGTGTCAGCTGCTCATTGGGAGACCCTACGAGGGAACCACAGGTATCTCCTGAAAGTTCACTGGCTGTGCCGCTTTGCTCTTACAAAAGACTTAGGTTAGCACCTGTTCTCACTAACTGCAAGAACTCGGAAGAGGATTTTGCTTTACGAGATGGTAGTTGTTTTTTTGCTTTATGCCATGCTGGCTTACAAAAGACTTGATAGGAGCGCTGTCCTTGATAGGACAGCGGGGAAACGCGTAACCTGCAGTGGCTCCGTGGGTCGTTTTCCCGTCTGTAATGGCTCATCCGCTTGGCGCAGAGGCAGCATCGTAGCCAGTGAGGTTTGTCCGAGACCTCATTGCCAGTTGTAAGGGATTGCCATCCCCTGTTCTGGGTCGTCATGTTGGTTTTCCCCTAAGTGTAGCCTGCCGTTTGTCCCCGGTAAGGCTCGCCTGCTGTTTTTCTGCTCTCTGCCTCAGCTGAGGTCTTGATGCAGCTTATCTCTGTTAGGTGGCACTCCACTGCCCCCACGAGATCTCGGTGTCGCTATGCTCGTGGAGATGTCGTTGGGGACGTTGCTTAAATAGCGCAGGTCAGAACCATCCGGATTGACTTTGGCACTAGATTCGCTGGCAGAGAAATGCCTTTATGGAGATGCTTGGAAGGCGCAATGATTTTGAACGGCCTGCGGCAGGGGTTGGCACGTTGGCTATGCTGGTGCCGGGGAGCAGTCGTGTCGGCCCCCGCCTGCGTGCGTGTGGATTGTATATGGCTGCCTTTGGCTACGTCGGTGGGGTTGAGGTGTCACCACAGGGACTACGACCTGCAAGACCTAAAAATAATTGGCCCTTTACAGAAAGCTTCCTGACCCCCTGGCCTGCCGTTGCAGGCTCCGGGTAACTTCTGCAAAGTGGCCATTCCCAGAGCTGATTGCCAAGGGAGAGTCCGCCCCGGGCGCCGCCGCACTTCCTGCTCCCTCTGGTTCTGAGCCGCGGGGGCGCCCCCCCCCCGCCCTCCCCCCCTGCCCTCCCAGTGCGCCCCGGGGTTGCCCTGGCCCAGTGGCCCTGCCGGCGCAGCTGCACAGCTGGTCTCCTCTTGTCTCTCTCCCCTCTGCTCTCTCTAGCCTTCCCCGTAGACCTTTCCCTCTTTGGCACATTTGGAAACTGCAGTTGATAATTGACTGTGGACTAGTGAGCATTTTTTGTTTTCAGAAAACACCCAAGGTAAATATCTTCCCTTTCGCTTTCTCTTTGCTTTCCTTCCCCAGCCCTCTAGCTGCCGGGAGGAGCCCTGGACACGGCTGCCCCCGGGCAGGGAGGTGTTTCCCCGGGGGTGGGAGGTGAGGGGGCCGTCCTGACCTTTGTTGCTACTTTCCCTTTCATTTTTCTGGAAGACCGGCAAGGTCATGAAATCCCTGCCTAGTGGTGGCAACTAAAACTTCCTTTTGGGGCAGGGGCTTTTGTGTCCAGGGCAGTCTCCTCTTGCCCAGTGTACAGCCTCAGCCTCCTGTGAGCAGAAGCCCCTGCCCTGTCTTCCTGCCTCTCATTGAGGCCAGCCCTCCTCCCAGTGGTTTCCTCTTGAGATGCTGAGTTAGCCTGACCGGGTCCCTAACTGCTCACTCCCAGCTCTGCCTGGATACTGAGGCGTCCTGAGCCTCCTCAGCCTTCCTGCCCCTTCGTGTCCTAAAGACGATTTTGACACTTGGTTTTGATGGCTTCCGTTCCTGACTGATACTAATTCTGCTTTCCCTCTCTCCTCTAGGGCCCAACCATGGCAGACCCGGCCTCCCAGTGGAGGAGAGCCCTGGGCGGAACCCGGGGGTTTAACTGCTTGCCAGGCAGCCCCAGGTCTGGGTGATGGACAAGCACGTGGGGAAGTGGAGAGCCGAGGAGTGGCTTCCTGTCAGCCCGTCCCCATCCCCTCCAGGCCACGTTTTAGATGGCCCTTAGAGATGTGGGTCCTGGGCTGTCCTCAGAAGCAGACCTCAGTGCCAGGAGCCTTCAGCAGGTCCTGCCCTCCTTTAGGAAGTGGGGGTCAGTTGGGGCACAGCCTTCCGGGCCTGCTTCTGAAGGGAATGAACAGAACACTGTCATCTCTGGTCCCTAGGACCCAGCCTTCTCCCTGTGACAGTGCAGTGTATTTATACCTCTTTGGGCCAAGCCATGATGTGAGTGCACGATTACGGCCTTTATGTGGCCATGACCTATACTCACTTTGCTTTTAATTTGCCAACCTGCTGCTGGCAGCACTTTTTGAGCGAACCAGGAGCACTATTTGTGGCTGGGGGTTCACATCCATGGCCTGGGCTGCAGTGAACTAGTTGGCCTCCCTTACGGTGCCATGTTTCAAAGCACGCGCCCCAGCCTGTTCCATGTGCCAAACCTTGAAGCACGATGACCCACCAATATGTCCCAGTGTCCGGCTCCCTCCTGTGGAGGTTGCTGCTTGGAGCCCCCAGCAAGTGAGCCGGCCCCTAGTGGCACAGGGGAGGCTGCTCGTTCCGCTTCTCTGTCTGTCCTGCTTGGTTGCCACTAACAGTATTGTCATTTTCTGTGTTTGAAGAAGAGAGGTCACACCGGGGAGGAAGGGGTGTGCTGCCCCTAACCTTTCTCAGTTGCTGGGTCCAGGGAGAGTAACCGACTTTGTACCTTCCCCCGTGGCTGGAATTTTCACGGAGAGCAGCGAGGGAGGGAGGGCTTGGTTATGAAACAGGTAGATCCTCAGCCCCTTTCTTTAATGACAACATGACATCAGTTTTTCTTGTATCTCTGAAACATTTCAGCTCATTGCTTCTTTGCTGTTCTTAGCTACAGGGTTTTAGAGAATTGGGAACAAGAAGGCACTTGTTTTCTTCTGCTTTACCCATATTTACGGTCTGCAGTTCTTCAGCTGTGTAGAAACTGGGGTATTGCAGAGACCTGGGGTTGCAGAAGGGATAGGGAAGGAGGAGTGTTTCTGGAACTTTTCTCAAAGGAATTTGGGTCCCTTATCCAGGACTGGTTAGGAATGAAGGCCAGAGAACAGTGGCATGCTGGCTTAGCAACTTCTCAAGGAATTCTAAGAGCAAGCCCAGGTGGGAAACCTACTTTACGATCATCTTTCCCTGAACAGTGCTGCTTAACCTTGGCTGCACATTAGAATCACCTGGCAAACTGAAAAATACTGATACCTGGAACCCCCCCCCCCCGCCCCTTCCAGGGAGCCTGATTTGATTATTCTAGGCATCAGGATTTTGTTTTTTGAAACAATTTTAATTTTTAAAAAAATTTTTTTTTTTTAAGTAAGCTTCACACCCGGCGTGGGGCTTGAACTCCCAACCCTGAGATCAAGAGTCAAGTGCTCTCCTGATGGAGCGAGCCAGGCATCCCTGAAACAGTTTTAGAGTCACCTAAGAGTTCCATACACTCTTCATCCAGCTTCCCCTAATAACGTTTTACATAATCTGGTACATCTATCAGAACTAAAAAAATTAACATTGGTACAAAATTCAATTAGATTTTATTTGGATCTTATCAGTTCTTCCAATAATGTCCTTTTTCTGTTGCAGGATCCAATCCAGGATACCAAGTTGCATTTAGAGTTCTTCCTTTTTTCTTTCTTTTTTGAAACCATTACAGATTCTTAGGAAATTGCAAGCTAGGGACCTTTCACCCGGTTTTCTTCAATGGTTACTCTTAAACATAGAATACAGTATCAAAACCAAGAAGCTAAAAAAAAAAAAAACAAAAAAAAAAAAAACAAAACAAAACCAAGAAGCTGACACTGGCACTATGTGGGTGGAGCTTTCTCTGTCCTCACGGGTAGATTTGTGTAGCTGCCACAGCAGTCTAGATAAATGACTGTCCCACCACCACGAGGCTCTCCCTCTGGCATACCGTTAACCCACCCCACCCCCTCGGCCCCCATCTCTAATCCCTGGCAACCACTAATCTAATATTTTGTCATTTCAAGAATGTTGTGTAAGTGGGATCATACAGTACGTAACCGCTCGGGATTGGCTTTTTTCACTCAGCGTTATATTCTGGAGCTACATCCAGGTTGTAGCGTGTGTCAATAGCTCATTCCTTTTGATTGCTGCGTAGTATTCCTTGATATACTCACTGTCCTGTGGAAGGACATCTGAGTGGTTTCCAGTTTTTGGCTATTCCAAATAAAGCTGCTATGAACATTCATTACAGGTTTTTGTGTGGATATTGGTTTTCTGAGGTAAATGTCCAGTATTACAGTTGCTAGGTCGTGTGGCTGTTGCATGGTTCGTTTTTTAAAGAAACTGCCACATGTCTTTAGAGTATACAATTCTACGTTTCCACCAGCAGCATGTGAGTAATTGAGTTTCTCTGAATCCTCAACTCATTTGGTATTATCACCATTTTTTAGCCATTCTGGTAGGTGCATAGTGAGATCTCGTGGTTTCCAGTTGTATTAACATAATGGCTGATGTGTATCTTTGTGTGCTTATTTTGTGAACTGTTCTTGTTTTTCACCCATTTCTAGTTGGATTGTTTGGTCTTAGTTCTCAGAGTTCTTTATATATTCTAAATACTAGTCCTTTGTTGGCTTTTTGGGTTTGCAAATATTTTCTCCAAGCCTTTAGTTTATTCTTTCATTCTCTTAACATATCCTTTATAGAGCAAAAGTTTAATTTTGATGAAGTTTAGTTTACCGGTTTTTCTTTTATGGATTGTGCATTTGGTATCATGTCTAAGAATTACCTAGCCCTCCTGGATCCCAAAGATTGTCTCCTAGGTTTTTTTCCTAAAATTTTTATAGTTTTGGAGCACTTAGGTGGCTCAGTCCTGTTAAGGAATCTGCCTTTGGCTCAGGTCATGATCCCAGGGTGTTGGAATCAAGCCCCACATCGGGCTCCCTGCTCAGCAGGGGAAGTCTGCCTCTCCCTCTGCCTGTTGCTTCCCCTGCTTGTGCTCGCCCTCACGCTCTCTCAAAATTTAAAATTTTTAGTTTTCTACTTGAAGTCTGTGGCCCATTTTGAGTTAATTTGTATAAGATTTAGGTCAAGGGTTTATTTTTTTTATTTTTTTTATTATTTTTTATTTATTTACGATAGTCATACAGAGAGAGAGAGAGAGAGGCAGAGACACAGGCAGAGGGGGAAGCAGGCTCCATGCACCGGGAGCCTGACGTGGGACTCGATCCCGGGTCTCCAGGATCGCGCCCTGGGCCAAAGGCAGGAGCCAAACCGCTGCGCCACCCAGGGATCCCAGGTCAAGGGTTTATAATTTTTTTTAGCTTATAGATGTCCAGTTGTTCTAGCACCATTTGTTGAAAAGTCTTTCCTCTGTAGAATTTTCATTTACACCTTCATCCAAAATCGGGTGGGCAGATTTGTGTCTGTTTCTGGGTTGTCTCCTCTGTTCTGTTGATCTGTGTCTGTCCCTCCATGAATTACCCCATTGTCTTGATTACCTGTAGCTTTATAGTAAATTTTGAAATTGGGTAGACTGGTTCTTCCCACTTTACTTTTCAAAATTGTTTCAGCTATGAGGTTTTTGTTTTTTTTGTTTGTTTGTTTGTTTTTTTAGAGGTTTATCTATTTAGAGAACAGGGGGAGGGACAGAGAATTCTGAAGCAGATACCCCACTGAGCGAGCATGGGGTCCAACATGGGGCTAGATCCCAGGACCCTGAGATCATGATCTGAGCCAAAATCAAGAGTCTGGTGCTTAACCAACTGAGCAACCCAGGTGCCCCTTAGTTATGAGTTTTTAAATCATCTTAACTATATCTACAAAAAAAAAAAAAATCTTGCGATATTAGGTAGGAGCTGCATTAAACCTGTGTATCAATTTGGGGAGAATTGACATCTTTTACTAGGTCTCATCTTCCTATCCTCAAACAAGGTGTTTCTCCCATGTAAGTCCTCTTTGATTTTAATCATTAGTGTATTGTAGTTTTCAAAAGTCCTTAAATGTTAGATTTACATCTACATGTTTTTAAAGGCAATTTTAAATTAAATTTGATTTTCATGGTGTTCAGCTAGTCATTGCATGTTTATCTTCTACCGAGGTCTTGCTGAACTCCCTTATTTTAGATGTTCTTTGTAGATTCCTAAGGATTTCCTATTTAGGTATGTTGTTGCATGCTCGTGGTGATACCTGGGTCCCACCCCAGAGACACTGATTTAATTAGCTTGCACAATAGGACTTTAAAAACTTGTGATAAGCAGCCAAGGCTGAGAACCACTGCTCTTTGAACTTGTCCATCAATGAGCAGAGAGATGCCTTGAGCACAAGAGCCAAGGGCCTGGACTCCCCACTCTGTAGCTGGCCTGGCTTGCTGTCAGGCCGGTACAGTTAACAGGTTGAGCTTTGCTGCTGAGGAAGACCAGGCCCTGGGACTATGGAACTGCCCCAACCTCCCACCACCGTGGCCTAGAAGGGACAACTAAGCTGTGATGGATAGTCAACCAGTTTTAATGAACAAAAAATATTGATGTGGATAAAAAGGTGTTTTTGACTGTCACATAAGGGTCCCCGTCTTCTAGATGGGGAGTCTTCTCCATGAACTTGAATTCCTGTTTCTCCTTATGGCTCCAGTGCCTGGTGAACTGTCAGCACAGTTCCCCACAGGGTAGGAGCTGTCAGTGGGAAAAGATGTGTGGCTCCTGGTGGGAGCTGTAGTCGCTTTGTCACATAGTAAGAATGGCCTTATGCTCGGCCTGAAAAGGTCACCAGTGTTAGGGTAGAAAAGAACTGCTGCAAAACGGATGTCCATCCAGGTACTTTGTACCTGAGGGAGGCTGATACCCTTCGTCTTAAAGCCCATCCCTCAGCCTGCGGTTCTTCATTTAGGGCAGAGTTCCTTAAAATTCACTTCCTGCCAGTTCAGGACCCAGGCCCGCCAGCAGTATGGGTCTCCGCCAATGCGACGTCAAACAGAAAAGGCAGTGGAAGGAAGGAACCTTGGTGAGGACTTGTGCGAACCTGGGTCCTAAATGTGCCACCCCTCAAGAGAGCAGGGGAGGCAGTAGGCAGTGCTTCCCCTCCGGGGCTAAGCCACTAGCTCCTTGGTGTCCCTCTGCGTGGTGGGGTGAAGCAGCAGAGCAGGTGCAGCTGTACGGTCCAGGCTGGGGCTCAAGCTCTAGTGCTAGGGTGACATCGCCTGAGGCAAAGTAGGGTTACGGGCCGCCACCCCAAAAGCTGGGTGGGCCACAAGCAATCCCCAGCTCCCAGGCATTTCACCCCTACAAAAAGCGCCACCAGCTGGCCAACTAGAGAGCAGCAGGCAGGCTGACCGAAGCCTTGGGCCAGTAGACACAAGATTTCCCTAAAACATCAGCTCTAGCTCCAGTCTTAGGGTTTCTGAGGCAACCAGGTTGGTACTGGACTTGGGCTGCAGGGGGCCTCAAACCTGTTGACTGCCCCCGCCCCCTTGCCCCTCAACTGCCAGACCCAACTCCAGAATCCCTAAGGCCAAAGCTGCCTGGAGCCACTCCACACCCTATCAGGGTTGCTACTGATAGGAATGGAATTCCCAGAGAAATCCCCTGCCCAAGGGCCTCGGCCAACTGCAGGAACTCCTGGATAGCAGCTGCTGGCCTCAGGCTGGATCACACACACACACACCCAGGGGAAACTGGTCCAGGGGCGGGCGGGGGGGGGGGGGGGGCACAGTCTCCCAGACTGAGCATCAGGGACACCAAGGACATCTAGCGCCCAGCCCTGGGCAGCTCCAGGCTTAGGGCTATTCAGTTTTGCTCTGTGCTGGAGTGCCACCCTCCTGCACAGTCCTCACCTGGCCCCCCTCTTCCCTGTGGTCCTGGGCAGCCTTCCCAAACCCACACCCTGGCAGGGAACAAGCCATCCCTGACACTTGGGCAGGGGTCTGCTTTATCCCACTGCCGGATGGTGCTGCTGTTCAGTCCTGGTGGGGTGGGCTGAGGAAGCAGCCCCCGGAGAGAGAGAGCTGAGGACAGGTGAGAACCTGAGGGGTGCGGGTGATGGTGAGGGCGTAAGGATGGGAGGTGAAAGGGATGGAATGGTGGCGGTGAAGTGACCCTACAGGGTGCTGTCATCAGGACCGGGTGCGGGGATGCCCGGCATGGGCCTGCAGTGCTTCCCGGATGCCCCGCTGCCAGTCCCGTGCCAGCTGTACCGGGGTCACCGAAGCCTGGGAACAAGGATACCAGATCAGTCCTCTCCTTCCTCCTTAGGGGCCACCCGCCCTCCTCAGACCAGGGGCCTCGGCCCTGCTCCTACCGCGTTCTGCACACCCAGCTTGGCTCCGTAGAGCAGCAGCACCTTCATGGCTTTGTAGTGGCCGTGCCGCACGGCCTCATGCAGAGCCGTGTCCCCTTCCTGTTGGGAAATGGGAGGTCATCCTCCTGAGCTCCCCGTCTCCAGGAGGGTCCAGTTGGCAGGTGCCTTCCCTAAGCTCAGGCTCCATCAGTCACTGTCCCCTGGCGGAGCTGACCCAAACCAAAAAGACTGAGCACCTACCTTGTCCTGGGCATCGAGGTGGGCTCCACAGGCGATGAGATGCTCCAGGCAGTCACAGTGTCTTGTGCGCACGGCCACGTGCAGCGGGGTGCTCCAGATCTGAGGGCGTGAAGGAGGGTCAGTGCCACCCTCACCTGGTGAGGCCTTATCCCAGCCCTGAGTGGCTGTGCTCTCTTCCTCCATCCCGGGCACTGCTCAACCGGCTTCTCTTCAGCGTTCCCCTCACCTTGTCCCGGGCGTTGACCTGGGCTCCCTGGTTTAGCAGCTGTTTGAGGATGTCCAGGTGTCCTCCACGGCAGGCCCAGAACACAGGTGTCCTGTCCAGCTGCAGAACAAGCATCAAGGCACTGGCGTGCTGTGGTGCTGCACAGGTGCCCGCCGGGAGGATGGGCCTGCCCCACTTCTCACCAGGTCACGAGCATCCACGGCAGCCCCCGCCTCTAACAGCCTGTTCACGAGCTGGCCGTGACCCTTCAGGCAGGCCCAGTGCAGGGCGGTGCGGTGCAGCTGGGGCGGAGACGGGCGATCAGCAGGCGGGAGCACGGCTGCCCCCTCGAGGCCCTGCCCTGGGTCCAACTCCCAGTACAGGTTCCCCGAACGGAAGTGCCTGGTCCCTCATCACACCCAGGGCCACGCACTCTGGGCTCAGGAGGCCCCACGGGGCTCCCACCCCATAAAAGAGGCAAGCGGTTTCCTAGGCCTGGCCTGGAACACACTGAAGATGGCTCCCCGGCAGCTCTGACACTGCAGTCTGGTTCCCCACCACTTGCTACCTTGTCATGGGCACTGGGGTCCCCTCCGTCTGTCAGGTACTTGTCAATCAGGGCCTCCTGGTTCTCGGCAGCTGCCTTCAGGAACATCTCCAGGTCCACAGGCTCCCACTGGGCCTGGGGCTGTGGCTGCGTAAGTCACAGGACAAGACCAAAGCACTTCCCCTAACTGTAGGCCCCTGGGCCGCCACCGCATCACCAGCCTAGCCAAGCGGCTCCCAAAGAGCCAGCCATGGACTAGCGTGTGGGGTGGTGGCTTATACAGACCATGGATTCTTGACCCCGCAGCACCCCCGAGATTCACGGAATAGGCACACGTAGTGCCCATGATGGGTTGCCATGGCCCTCCCCACAGAATGTGGCTGTATCCGGAAATAGGGCCACTGCGCCTGTAATTAGTTAGGATGACGTCACAGTGGAGTAAGTGGGCCTTAATCCTGAATGAAAGGGGACACGCGGGGCAGCCCGGGTGGCTCAGCAGTTTAGTGCCACCTTCGGTCCAGGGCCTGATCCTGCGGACCCGGGATCGAGTCCCGCATCGGGCTCCCTGCATGGAGCCTGCTTCTCCCTTTGCCTGGGTCTCTGCCTCTCTCTCTCATGAATAAATAAAATCTAAAAAAAAAAAAAAAAAGAAAGAAAGAAAGAAAGAGGACATGTGGACACAGCATGCCTGCAGGGAGAGTGCCACAGAGATCCAAGATCAGAATGAGGCCGCCACAAGCTAAGGAGCACCTAAGCTAGAAGAGGGCAGGCCTAGGCGCTCCCGTAGAGCCCTCAGAAGGAACGGACGCTGCCGGTACTTGGGGCTCAGACTTCCGGCCCCCAGAACTGGGAGCGTACACTGCTGTTTTTGAACCATGGGGTGTGGGGTCCCCAGCAAACAAATATGAGGGCTGTGGGGCCTCCTGAGTGGAGTCTGTGCAGCTCAGCAGCCCAAGCCCACCTGCGGGGCCAGGAAGCGCTTCCCCCAGCAACTCCAGCCCCCCACTTCTCACTCACCTTAGCCACGGGCTCAGGTGCCCTGGGGGGGACTCTCCGTTTCAGTCGCTTTTCTCTGCGTCTTTGAACCAAGTTCTCCAAGTCAGCCAGGGTCTCCAGATTCAGTCTGGAGCTGTTAAACCTCTCAACCTGGGGCACAGACCAGGCCACACCAGCCGTCAGCCACGGGCCTTGCCCTCGGGGGGACCCCAGCTGCCTGAGGTCCCCGCTGCTCAGAGCCTGCCCGCTCAGGTTTGGCACCCGCCACCCCCAGCCCCAGCCCCACTCACTTTCTTCTTCTTCTCTTCTTCCAGTTTCCACCGCTCCCGGGCCACAGCCTCTTGGGCTCCCAGCCTCCAGGCCCTGGGCCCGCCTCCAGGATCAGGAGCTCCCCGTCCACATCCCAACACTTTCCTTTCAACTCTGTCTCCACACACCTGTAGGAACGGGACATGGAGAAACACTCCGAAAAATGAGGAATCCTTAGAAAACACAGCTGTGCAGTATAGGATCCCTCCTGACAGAGATGAGTGTAGTGGAGCTCACAGTGGCCTGACCCTTCCCGAAGCTTCCTGGCGTTCTGCTGGCTCGCTCCCTGATGCCTGTGGCTCTCGGCTCTCACCCCCCAGAGTGTTGCCCAGGGCTCGAAGATAACCGCCGCCTACCTTGTCCTGTCAGCAGGACACAGGGTCAGGGCCATGACACCACATCTATTTATACTGCTGGGCTTGTGTCCAGGTATGCTCAGGACAGGTGACACCTCAGCTTCCCTACTGGGCTGTCATCTTTCCATTCCTATCAGATCACACCATACTGTCACCTGACCCCAAGCTCAGAAGGACAGAGATGCCTCCTGGGTAAAGTCTGAATTCCTAGGTTCAAATCTTGGCTCTTGTGAAGCTCTTTTTCTTCACCACTAGGATGGGGTAAAACTAGCACACAGCTCAAGGGGCTGAGGGGGAAACCGGGGCAGAACCCAGCACACAGTGATCTGTTCTTCCTCCCTGACCGCCAGGGGCTCGGGCTGGGGAGCACTGAGGAGAAGCATACGGGGGGGAGGGAAGCGGCTGTGATGACCGGATGACAGGATGGCAGGGCCCCGGGCGTCTAGCCCTGGAGAACGAACTACATTCTCTTCTAAAGCAAATGCTGGCCCTGCAACCGGCTCCCGGAGAGGCCGTCCCGGGCCGGGTTAGCGGAGGCGCCGGCCCACAGTGGGGCTCCCGTGCCCCCCTGCACCCAAACTGCCACCCCAAGTCTCACTGGTAGGCCGTTTCTCTCACTGCCCGGAACTCCAGAGCACCCTCCTTCCTGCCCCCCGACCAAGGGCGGAGGCCTGGCTGCCCTCCGCACCGTTTCCAGAGCATCGGCTGTCACAGTAGCTGAGCCCACGCACCCCGCGGCTACATCCGTGTCCTCTGCGGTAGCCTGCCATCTCCTGTTCCTCTTGCCATTACAGTCCCCAGCAAGAGTCACTAACTCAAGGGTTGTCAGCCGACACCGGCACTCGATGTCTTCCCATTGCTCCCCTCTCACTGCCTCACGGAGCTGGATGGACACCCCGGAAAACCACCACAGGTTTCTGCCCCTAAACCAATCCTCCAGCCACAGATAGCAGCCGCCTGCCCCCCTCTAGCTGGACCTCCTGCTGAGGCAGCCTGGGGACACCTAGACAGTGACCTGCCTCCCACCCTCCGCCCCATGTCCTTACCAACTGCTGGATGCTGATGGTGTCCATGGTCCCCCTGCTCTCCACGCCCCAGTCAGAGGAGCTGAGCTGCTCAGCCCTTTTATAGGAGAGCTGCGTCCTCGGGGAGGGCAGGCCAGATAGCTCAGTGGTTCTGTAACACTCACCAAAATACCAGCGTGGGCGTGCAGCCCGCTGAACACAGCAGGAGCCGCTCTGGGCTGAGTCAGGTGCATCCTCAGACACCCACTCTCCTGCACCTGTGCCATCCCTTACACCTGCTCAGGGGTAATCCAACCAATAGACATGTGGTCGGGGGTGCCTGGGCCACTAGAAAAAGAGTTGAGTGTGAACCTCCATGTTGCCACAGGTCCAGCTGCCTGAGACCCTGAAAGACCCAGCCAGCCTGTCCTAAGCCAAAGGAGGCCAGAATCCTAGAGACGACCTCGGGAAGGACAGACCCAAAAGGCTGACCGCCGCGTCAGGAATCTGCAAGGCACCTACAGGAGGAAACCAGGCTTCAAACGACTTCCCCACTCCCAGTTTCAAGGCTGCCATCCTTACTTTTACTAGTTTCCTTTCCCAGGTACCCACCCCCCCAACCCCAGCTTCTCCCTTGCCACTCCGAGAGCCAGTGCATTACACCACATGACAGCCAGGAACCGAGCACAGCCTGTCATCGGCACCTCCTACCTCTTGAAAAACATTCCACACTCCACACATCCAGATCCCCTACCCGATGCTCTGCTGGGCCGGGAGCATGCCTTTCCACGGGGGAGCTGGCCTGAGATCCACTCCAAGTATGGAATGTTAGCCATTAATCTAGTCACAGAGCAACCTGTCTCAAGTCACCAAACTTCCTAATTTAAGATGCCCAGCATGCCCTTCACCCAGCTGTGCCTTGAATTCTGACTTGACCTTTGAAAGGAAATCTGATAGTAAATCAGGCTCCAGAATTGGAGCTGCATGAACAGGGATGACCAGAACAAGAGGGAGGGAGAACTACAGGTCAAGGACAGCCCAAGGCCCCAAAGAGCTGAGAATGGTGGCTCACAGCTGGCTTCTCAGTAAATGTGTCCAAGTTTTGAGACTCCGGACCCAGAGCTTTTTAAGGAAATCCAGTCCTTATGTGTTAGGGGTTTTTGTCAAAGTTAATTTCTTGCCTTAGGTTATGAAGAGGGAAAGCTGCCTAGACTAGAGTGAAGGGAAATAAGACAAGACAGACTTAACTCTGGTCCACGGTCTGCCACTGACTCTAGAACTCCTCTCCCTCAACATTCGAGGATAAGGCATTTTGCATCAACAGAAATTCTCACCAGAAAACTAGCTTCTTCCACGTGAAATTGGTATTAATTCTTACAGAAAGATTACTGCCAGTAAAAACTCAAACAACAAAGCTCACAACGCACTTGACAAACCACTCTCACATCAGAAGAGAGGACACCGCGACACCACAGATACCAGCGTAATACATATCCTTCCCACGTTTTCCCTGTATTGTGTATGTATACATGTGTTTCTACAGACATGTTGTAAGAGGCATCATACTGGGATCGCAACTCAGTGCGCTTTCCATGTTAGCCTGCACTGCATGCCGATGACACGTGTACCAGAATTTCATCATTTCCCTAGCCAGGAGCATTTAGCTTATCTCCTTTCTTCCTATATTTTTTACATTACTGCACATGCTCCAATGCACAACTCTGTAGATGTCTCAGTAAGTAAATATATTTTTATATGTGGATATTTCTCTAGGTAGCTACAAAGAAATAAAATTACTGGCCCTGCTCATTTAAATTTTAATATTGTCAAACTCCTGTCTATGATGGATTATCAATTTCCATGAACAGATACTAACAAAGTGATGTTAAGAAAGAATATATATATATATATATATATATATATATATATATATATAAACAAGATTAATATCCTACAAATCAATAAAAGGAAAAAAATCTTTAGGCAACAGGTATGAATAGGAAGTTTACAGAAGACGGTCAACATCACTGGTGGTCAACATCACTGGTAATTAGCAACACAAAATAAAACAACAGCACTAGTTAATCTATCAGATTATTAAAATGAATAAAATTTGAAAAAGTGGATGCTCTAACACAGTTTGCAACGTGTTAGAGCACACTCTGGTGCTCTCGGTATATTCACTCATTTAACAAGGCCTCTGAGGCAGGCCCTCACTCACAGATGAGGAAGCAGGGACAGATGGGCCAAGTGATCTTTCTCAAGGGCGCTGAGCTAGAAAGCAGCTTTGTGACATCTATTCCATAGCTTCTTCTAATACTTATGTAGTTGTTTTTTTTTTTTATTTTTTATTTATTTATTTATGATAGTCACAGAGGGAGAGAGAGAGGCAGAGACATAGGCAGAGGGAGAAGCAGGCTCCATGCACCGGGAGCCCGATGTGGGACTCGATCCCGGGTCCCCAGGATCACGCCCTGGGCCAAAGGCAGGCGCTAAACCGCTGCGCCACCCAGGGATCCCCTGTAGTTGTTTTTATACTTAGTTCTTTAATCTACTTGAAATTTATTTTTGTGCATGGATGAGGTAAGGATACAACTTTATTTTTTTCCAAACAGATAGATGTTTCCACATGAACTAATTTAGAATGTGATTATCTGTCCAGGCTTAAGCATTTGTAGCTCCGCCGCATCTACTCCCCTTGCTTCCACAGCAGCCAGGATGGGGCTCTTCGGGCCTCAGTTTCCCACCCCAGCACGGATGCTGACCAAGGCAGGGCCAGGAAGGCTAGTCTGTGTACTCTGGCACGGCAGTCTGAGACAGAAAGGTGGCAGCTCAGCTGGCCAGCAGGTCCCACAGGTCACTGTTGCAGGGCAGCAGGTCACATGCTAGTCGTGCCTTCCGATCCCGGACAGCCTTCAGGGCCGGGCTGTGTGCCAGCAGCAGGGAGCAAATGTCCACATGACCCTTCTCGGCAGCCTGCGGAGAAAGATGCCCGGATCAAGCCATATCCCCACTGGGCCCTGCCCTTTCTTGCTCCACCTCCGGGCATCTCTTGGTCCTAAAAATGATCTTATGGAAAGGGGAGATGCCAGCTCCTGAGCAGACTTCCCCTAACTGCTACCAAAACCCAATGACTTGCATCAGATTGGTGGAATTCCCTAGTGCTAGTCTGGCAGTTAGCTTGAGTTTTTCTTTCTTTTTTTCCTGCTCAGTAGCCATCCTTCTCTGCCCAGGCCTGCACATTAAAAATAAATAAAGATGCCTGGCTGGCTCAGTTGATGGAACACACGAATCGTGGTCTTGCTGGTCTGTGAGCCCCATGTTGGGTGTAGACATTACTTAAAAATAAAATTTTTAAACAAACAAAAACAAATATAGAACCTTGGATCTCTAAGTTTCTTTTACAAATGTTCAGTCTTCCATCAGCTGGGCACTGTAGGCACAAGATAAACCAGACATGGCCTCTGCCCTCTGCGAACGTTCAGATGAGCAGAGAAAAATGGGTCCAGCTTCCCAGCTTTCTCCTCTTCCTTTGAAATAGATGATCCCAACCTGGATATCAATTTTTAATCTACCTCCTCCAGAAAAGAGAGTTAAGGTGATTTACACAGATTAGCTTATTTAACTTTCATAATAAACATCTGAGGTAGGAACTACCATCATTCTCATTTTACAGATGAAGGAACTGAGGCTCATACAAGTTAAGTGACTTGTCCAATGTCACAGAGCTGGCATGGTAGCCTGGGGATCCTAAACCAGGTCTGTCTGATTGCCAAGTCTCAACTCTTAACTGTGTTATACCACTCTATTCCCTATTTCTCCCAACAATCAGGCTGATGCACCATGGGGGCTTTTGAAAGGTGTCAAAATGAGTATCAGTAGCAAACATCATCTCAAATATGAATCCAGGTCTTTATTTAGCAGGTTTTTTTTTTTTCAAGATTTTATTTATTTATTTGAGAGAGATCAAGCACAAGCGAGGGGAGCTGCAGGCAGAGGGAGAGGGAGAAGCAGACTCCCTGTAGGGAGTCCAATGCAGGGCTCGATCCCAGTACCCTGGGATCATGACCTAAGCGAAAGGCAGATGCTTAACCGACTGAGCCACCCAGGTACCCCAGCAATAAAGTATTTTTAAATTAAAGTACATAATTTTTTTGACATAATGCTAGTGTACACTAAATAGACTATACTATAGTATAAATATAACTTTTACAGGCACTGGGAAGCCAAGACTCCTCTGACTTGCTCTATTATGATGGTCTGCATATCTCTGAGGTATGCCCATGCCTCATATAAGAGGTATTACAAAGTTTTAAAAACTATAATAAAATCTGCTACATATTTAACCTACTAGTATCTCTACTGAAGTGTTTACCCCCACAGACATCATACATTAAAAAATAGTAACATGTATTATTCAACAGTCAGATGTTTCAAAATATGAAAATATCCTCACAGACATAACTCTTTCAAGGCTGCTGTAAACCAAAGCAAGCACCTTCCTGTCCTACCAGGTTTCTGGAGTCCGGGTTGTTTGCTGTGGATCTGCTACCCTTAGGTGATGGCTGGGGTGATGGACTAGAACATTGGCTCCTAAAAGCTTTCTTCCTGAAGAAAGGCTCATCAGTGTGTCTTGTCTTCTACTGGCTGAGAACTTGCCACACAATATGCTAGAGGGAGCAGAAGGTAGTCCGGACTGCAAAGCCCTGAGAGACAGGTCTCTAATATGAAAGAGTGAGCACAAATTTTTGATGGACAGCAGAAAAGTGTCTGCCACAGGTTTTCATGGTAAGTCATGTAGTCAACTGCTTAAATTTTATTTTAAAATTCACAGAGAATACATTTACACACGTACACCAAAAATATGCACAAACCACTTCTTCATAATGCTAAGCAATCAGTAAAAGTGATGCCTTGAGCAGCAGCGTGCCCTGGAAGACTGAGGGACCAGGTGTCAGGGTGGAAGGGAAACATTTTCATGCTGCACTGTTTTGTACTCCTTGAACTCTTTATCATGCGTAGGTATCTCCATTCAGAACAAAATTAACTGAGCGATCACCCTGGCTACTGGATGGAGAGTGGGCTACAGGAGTAGGCAAGAGCCAAGTGTGAGTGTCAGAAAACTAACCTCGTGGAAACAGCATTCATGACATATCATGAAAGCAAAGAAAATAATTGTAATTTACATGCACAGGGAAAATGCTGGCAGGTTATACATTAATCCTAAAGCGATGACTGGTAAGCACTGGCATTACAAGTGCTCTTCTGCTTTCTTCATATTTTCTACAAGTGAACATGTTCTAACTTTTATCTGACAAAAACCCAGTTTTTGAAGGGGTAAGGCGGCATACCTTATGCAGACTGGTCATGCCATCATCATCCACCAACCTGGGGTTGGACCCATGAGACAGCAGGAGCCGTGCGATTTCGGTGTGCCCACAGTAGCTGGCCCTGTGTAGAGCAGTGGCGCCCCCATGGGTTTGGGCATTACACTTAGCCCCGCTTTCCAACAGGAACTGGCATACGGCATAGTGCCCGTTGCGGCTGGCATAGTGCTGCAGGGAACAGAGACCGAGGTCAGACAGTACAGCCCAGCTGGCAACAAGGGTGGTGGGTGGGTGGGAGCATGGGCTACGGAGCGAGAGGATGGGAACCATCTCATCGGCTATCTCCAGGAGCTGTGTGATCAAGACGAGCTTCTTCATTTCTAGCATCAGTTAATAGCAGGAAAATGGGGATAATAATCATTCCTACCTCACAGGACTGTTAGGTAAATGAAATTAAATAACTGACGTAAAGCACTAACACTAGAAAAAAAAATGAGAGGGATCCCTGGGTGGCGCAGCGGTTTGGCGCCTGCCTCTGGCCCGGGGTGTGATCCTGGAGACCCGGGATCGAATCCCACATCGGGCTCCCGGTGCATGGAGCCTGCTTCTCCCTCTGCCTGTGTCTCTGCCTCTCTCTCTCTCTCTGTGTGTGACTATCATAAATAAATAAAAAAAAAAAAATGAGGTTCACACAACGTTTAAAAGTGAAAACCTGGGCAGCCCCAGTGGCGCAGTGGTTTAAAGCCGCCTGCAGCTCAGGGCATGATCCTGGAGACCCGGGATCGAGTCCCACGTTGGGCTCCCTGCATGGAGCCTGCTTCTCCCTCTGCCTCTGCCTCTGCCTCTACCTGTGTGTGTGTGTGTGTGTCTCAATAAATAAATAAAATCTTTGAAAAAAAATAATAAAATAAAAGTGAAAACCTGCTGGGAGAGAAGAAAGGGCAAGAGTAAAGGCAACATCACACCCTCGGCCACAGAGAGCAGGCATTCCTGGGAAAGCTTCTCCCTCCCCCGCCCCCATGTTCCTCCCCAGCTCACCAGAGCAGTGTAGCCAGCTGAGTCAGGCTGGCTAGGGTCTGTTGACTTCTGGATGAAATACTTCACTCGGCCTAGGTCTCCATTCAGGGCTGCTGACCAGATTCCTGTGGAAAGACAACCAAAGTGCTGGATAATACTGAATGACTGGAAGACTTTTAGGGATTCCTTTAACTCTGCACCTCCATTTCCTCATTTATAAAATGAGGGATTTATTCATTCAAAAAATATTAACTGAGAGGTGCCTGGGTGGCTCATTCTATTGAGCACCTGACTCTCAGTTTGGGCTCAGGTGATGATCACAGGGTCTGGGATCAAGCCCCGCATCCGTGACAGGCCCTCCACCAGCACCTAGAGGGGTGTCAGCTTGAGATTTTCTCATTCCTTCTGCCCCTCCTCCCACTTGAGCTCTAAATAAACAAACAAAAAAATTTAACTGAAATCTCTCCTGTGCCAAGGACTATCTTAGGAGCTGGGGATATAGCTGTAAACAAGACAGACAAGGGGCTTTCTCTAATCAGGACAGTAGGGCTGGGCAGACACAAATCTCTTCTTTCCACTTCAAACATATAAATGTTAAATAATGTCTAAAATGTCTGAATATATAGGCAAATTCAAAAGCAAGAAAAGGACATTGCCAGTTGCCAGAAGAAAGTGAAGAAAAATTTAAGGAAACGAGAAAACACAACATTTCAATAGGCGTGAGAAGACAGCAAAGGCAGAAGAAATCTAAAAAAATCAAAATCAAATAGCCAAAATGACTCATGCAACTTGGAGATGTGGAAATTTATATTTTTGTATTTTTCCCATCATGTAAATTTTATTAACTGTATTATATTTTTTCCAACTTTATAGAGAAGTAGTTGACATATATCACTGTATAATGGGACCTATGTTTATTTATACCCTTGGGGAGCAAAACTCTCAAGCTAAAGATCTGTCATAAAAACAGATCCAGACAAGTGAATGTGGGCTGTGCAAAGGGAACTTCTAAAAAATGTCCTATAAGTATATCTCCACCAGACAACAAAGGTATGTAGATAATCTCTAACGAGAGAAGACACCCACCCCACCACCTACCCTGTGAGCTCAAAAATTTAAAGCTGCAAAACAAGAAGCAATCCACCACCATGTGACACAGTCAGCAAATACAACAAATGGAAAAAAAATGCATGCTTCAAAAATGAGCCATAAGAGCACAATCTAAAACATTTTTATCGTGTTCACAGAGATGAAAGGATACAATATACAAATCAACAGAACCTTAGGGAGAAAAAAAAGAACAAGGAGATCTGAAACAAAAGTTAGGGACACCTGCCTGGCTCAGCAAGTAGAGCATGTGAGTCTTGATCTCAGAGTCATGAGTTTGAGCCCCATGCTGGGTGTAGAGATTACTTAAAAAAAAAAAAAAGTCAGTAAATTAAAAAATAGGATCACTGAAATAAAACAACAACAACAACAGATGGTTGGACAGTACTGCAGACCTAGCTGGAGAGAGAACTAGTGATTTGGAAATCACCCAGAATGCAAAATGGTAAAGAGAAATACTTGTTAAAGAGAGGTAAGGAAAGGTGGAAGGCAAAATGTATCAACAGAAGTTTCAGAGAGGGGATCCCTTGGTGGCTCAGTGGTTTGGCGCCTGCCTTTGGTCCAGGGCACGATCCTGGAGTCCCGGGATCAAGCCCTGCGTTGGGCTCCCGGCATGGAGCCTGCTTCTCCCTCCTCCTGTGTCTCTGTCTCTTTCTCTCTCTCTAGCATGCATAAATAAATAAATGAATAAATGAATGAATAAATAAATAAATAAATAAATCTTTAAAAAAAAGTTTCAGAGAGAGAAAGAGAAATTGGATGGAATGGGAGAGAAGAACTGTCTGAAGAGATAATGTCTAAGAATTATTATGAAGTAAGACAACCATGAATTCTCAGATGAAAACCACATTTAATCCCAAAGAGAATTAATCAAAACAAATCTACCATGGTAAAATGACCAAACATCAGGAATAAAGAGAACATTTAAGTTACAAAAGAAAAGATCATGAGTCACTAAAGAATCATAATCAGATTATCAGGATTTTTAAAAAATGTTTACTTATTTTTCTTAGTAATCTCTATGTCCAATGTGGGGTTGAATTTACAACCCCAGGATCAAGAGTTGCATGCACTTCCAACTGAGCCATCCAGGTGCTCCTAAATTTTTTAAAACATTTTTTTTTTTTTTAGTAATTTCTATACCCAATGTGGGGCTCAAACTAACGACCTTGAAACCAAGAGTCATTTGTTCTCCTGACTGAGCCACCCAGACACCCCCAGCAGAATTATTAACAGTAGTAGCAGAAAAAGAAGATAAATAATATTTCCAAAGGTTTGAGAGGGAAAAAGTAATTGTCAGTTTAGAATTTTACACCCTACTAAGTTACCAGTTAGGAGAGAGACAGAGACAGAGAGCCGGAGAATCATACTCACTGAAAAAAACTTTTAAATGATATACTTCGGGAAAAGGAAAAATGAACCCACAGAGGAGATATGAAGAAAAAAAAAGATCCACATGATAAGGATCTTTCCCATGTGTGGGAAATAATAAATGAATAAGCAAACAAAGTAATGGTAAAAACTGCTTTGATGAAAGATAATATATCAGAGTAACGGAGGGGAAGTAATATATCAGAGAAACCTTACTCCTTTGGACAGGGGTAAGGTTTCTTTCTCAACAGCAGTACGACTGGCATTTTAGGCCAGTTAATTCTTTGGTAGGAGGAACTGTCCTGTGCATTGTAGGATATAGACCAGCATTCCTGGTCTCTACCTTCTAGATGACTGTAGCACCCTCCCAGCCATAATAACCTGCAATTGTTGGGGCACCTGGGTAGTTCAGTGGCTGAGCGCTCCCTTTGGCTTGTGGTGATCCTGGGGTCCTAGGATCAAATCTTGTGTCAGGCTCCCCAAAGGGAGCCTGCTTCTCTCTCTGCCTATGTCTCTGTGTGTCTCTCATGAATGAATAAATAAAATCTTAAAAAGAAAAAAAAAGGGATCCCTGGGTGGCACAGCGGTTTGGCGCCTGCCTTTGGCTCAGGGCGCGATCCTGGAGACCCAGGATCGAATCCCATATTGGGCTCCCGGTGCATGGAGCCTGCTTCTCCCTCTGCCTCTGTCTCTGCCTCTCTCTCTCTCTCTCTCTCTCTCTCTGTGACTATCATAAATAAATAAATTAAAAAAAAAAATTAAAAAAACCCTGAAATTGTTTCTACACATTGCCAAAAACCCTTAAGGGATAGAACTGACCCCTTTAGCTGAGAACTACTAGAATGGGGTGTTCATCGTGGGTTGGCAGGAGGAGATGACATTTGAGTGAGACCAAGGAGTTCCTCAATGTTGCAGGAAGTTCATTCCAAGGAGCAAGTACCATGGCTGTAAGTCAGAAAGAGATCTTGCCTAAGAAACCCAAACAAGCCCAGTGTGGCTGAAGCATAGCGACTGGGGAAAGAAAAGGATGAGATCCCTGGGTGGCTCAGCGGTTTGGCGCCTGCCTTTGGCCGGTGCGCGCGGTCCTGGAGTCCCGGGATCGAGTCCCGCGTCCGGCTCCCGGCGTGGAGCCTGCTTCTTCCTCTGCCTGTGTCTCTGCCTCTCTCTCTCTCTCATGAATAAATAAATAAAATTAAAAAAAAAAAAGGATGAGAAATAAAGTGGAGGCAGGGAAGTAGAATAGGCAGGGATTAGATCACACAGTTTTGTAGGCCATGAAGGGAATTTGAATTGATTCTAAAAGCAATAAAATCATCTGATTCAATACTTTCAAAAGGTTTACTCTGGCTTCTGTGTAACGTAGAAAACACGGTTGGAGGGCAGGAGTGGAAGCAGGAAGGCCCAAGAGGGAACTGCTTCGGTAGCCCGGAGGGCGGCGCCATGGAGGGCGGAGAGCAGGTGCACAGCTACCTCACAGTAAATTAAATCCGAAAGCACATAAAGCGGCAGCATCTTCCCAACAGCTGATGAGTTACTACTGCAGGAGCGGCCTCCGCACTGACAGAGGACACGCTGCTTCCCGAGAAGAGAGGGAGGCCTTGGTTTTCAGCTTTACTCTGTCCTTACAGGCAACACCACCTCCTTCCATGGGGTATGGGGTAAAAGGGTTCCGTCTCTGGGCCGCAAAGGTGGAGACGCCACCTGCGCCGAGGCCCACGGGTGCCGCACGTAAAGCTCAGGGCGCCGGACCCCGGGGCTCACACGGGCGGTCAGGGCGCCAGCTCCCTTCGCAGCGCAGCCCCTCTGACGCTCCGCGGCCTCGGCATGGCTGCGACCCCCCGACCCCCCACCCCCGCGCACACCCCCGGGCCGGCCCGAGTCTCCCGGCGGCGCCCCGGCCGAGGAACCGGGCCCCGCCCCACCACTTGGGAGAGCTGCCGAACCCAGGGCCCCCGTTTCCCCGCCCGCGCGCGAATCGAAGTTTCTAGTGGCCGAGCTCGTGCCGGGTCCCGCGCGGGATGTCCGCGACCCGGGGAGGGTGAGCCCACCGCCCGCCCGCGCCCCCACCAGGCGCGCCGCGGCCCCGCTTCTCTGCCCTCCCTGGTCCCACGATCTGGAGAGAGCCGGAGTCTCACCCCTGTCGAAGTCCATCTCGTCCAGCGTCTGCTGCACGCCGGACGCCGCACCCGGCCAGGAGCAGCAGGGCCCGTCCGCGCAGGGCTGCGGCGACGCCATGTCGGCCCGGGAGCTCGCTCTGCTCCGGCCGTTGTGCGCACGCGCGGCCGGCCGGGGCGGGCCGGGGCGGGCCGGGGCGGGGCCGGGGCGGGGCCGGGGCGGGGCCGGGGCGGGCCGGGGCGGGCCGGGGCGGGCCGGGGGCGGGGCCGCGGCGGTCCTCGGAGGCCGACTTCGCGGGGCTGTAGCTCGGGGGCCAGTGCAGGCGGGGGCGGGGCTTGGCTGCGCTGCGCTCCCGGGCGGCCGCGCGAGGGCGTCCCAGGCTAAGCGCAGTGCCGAGGGCCCGGCGCCGGGTCCCCAGACCCAGAGCGCGGGCGGATGGCGCCCGGGCCGCCGCCAGCCTCGGAGGGTGTGGGGACGCGGCGCGCGGGTGTGGCGGCGCGCCAGGGCCCAGCCCTCCGAGGCTCCCTGCGGCCCACCGGTTTCCCCAGGGCAGGGAGTCGCCGGGCGCGCCCCAGGCCCTCCGCCCCGGTTTTCTGCACCACCCCAGGCCCGTGACCTCGCTTCCCCCTCCCTCCTCCCGCGCCTCCCGCGCGGTTCTTGAAAACCCATGGGAGGCAGGTGGCCATGACTTTTGCCATTAGGAGCACAGAAAAACCCCAAGGGCAGGAACGGGGCCTTGGGTTGTGCCGAACCCCCCCTACTCCAGTGGGGGCCTAGTTTACTGGATCAGGCTTCATATATCAATACATCCTCCGGGCTGAGGTTGACGGACCATGCTGGAAGCTTAGCGTCCCCAGAAGTCGGCAGATCACAGCCCTTTCCTACAGCTAAGGACACCCAGGGCAGCAGCCCCTTTCAGCCCCTGCAGGCCCTCCAGACCAGTCAAATGTAGGGAGTCCATTTCACTTCAACTGCCTCCATCTGTGGGCATGGACTACAGAATCCAGGCTGGGTCTTCTCTTCCTTACAAACATCTGGGCCCTCCCTGTACCACTCCTTCCATAGGACAGTGGCTTGGCGCACACTGGGTGGTAGTGAGCAAAGTTCCACGCTTCACATAGCTGAAGCATTCAGGACTAACATTTCTGGAGGATAGGCAGAAAGCTGGAAGTAACCTTTCTTCCCCTAGGCTAGTTGGGAGCCCCGACCTCACACAAGCCAGTCCATACAACCTTAAGCTTTCTAGGAAGTTCCTCTCCTACAGCCCCCTGCTGCCACTTCCCCTTCCCAGAGTTCTGAGAAGCCAGGCCCCTCCTCTCCTGCCTTGCTCCCAATGCCCTAACTTTAACTTCTCCCTTTGGCCAGAAGCCAAAGCTGGCTCCCAGGAGGCTGTGGCCCTGGTCTGGTTCCCAGCCCCACAGCTACCACTGTGGGAAAACACTGGAGCCTCGGCTATATTGCCCCTCTGGAGAGGCACAAGCAGGCACGGAGAACTGCAGGGGCAGCTGCCCCAGAACTATGGGGAGGTGAGGCTAGTCTAGCCCAGAACGTTTTAACCGAATGTCTTATCCCTATAGCAGTAACATATCCCATAGCAGTATTGTTTTCTTGATTTTATTCGTCAATATAAAAATACTCAAATATTTACAACAAATAAATACGCGAGAACACAATAAGTTACACTGTTAGGAGCCCTCCTCCTAGGGCTGGGAGAGGCTATGCAATATCCACAGCATGCCCACCCTCTTTCTTCCTCCCCCCCCCCCCCACAACCTTTCCCAGTCCTGTAAGGGAGGACAAGTATAAAATACCACTGAACCCCCGGGCCAAGTGGGAGGCCCCTCCCACCCTTGCCCCAAACACACAGGAGAATCCATCTCCCTCCCCCCAACCCTGAAAACATTCACAGCCCTAGGAGCAGGACCAGGCCCACTCCAGAGCCCTGGACTCCCCCAAAGGGGTACAGCACCCTGCCCAGCCCACCCCCATATGTACATCGCTGACCCACACTGGGGACAGGTGGGGGTAGGAGAGGCAAAGTGATACAACCCCTTCCCCTTCATAGCTCCAATGACTCACCAGGAGGACCCCAGGCCAAGGGAAGACCTGACAGAAAAAGGAAGACTTATCACATACACACACACACACACAGGCACACGCACAGAAAAAGGAAGACTAAGTCACACACACGTGTGCACACACCCACATCTCCAACTTCTGCCTTGAAAAGTTTTGGCTGCTGGGGTCCCGTGTGTCCATGATTCACAGCCGCTCACAGAGAGGAGGAAGATGCCTCCTGTGAGGCCGGTGCCCTGGTGAGCCACACCAAGTGGCAGTGCCCGTGCTGAGCAGAGCAGGTCCCCATGGCCGGGCAGGTGCTGGGCAGGGTCCGTCCCAGGCCGAGCCCGGTGCCCGCGCCATGTCCCTGAGGTAGCTGGTGCCTGTGCAAAAGGAGAGGCCGCGCCTCCCGCGCTGCCCCTGCGAGGAGGTGGGGGCCCCTCATACTGAGGACTCCTCAGGATTGGAGTCTGGCAGCGGCTGGCGCTGCTGCAGCTTGCGCCTCAGTTCGTCGGCCAGCTCCGGCAGAGGGTGCCCGAGCCCCCCGCGGTCCTCCCCGCCCAGTTGTAAGCGCACGTAGCCGTTGGCGTTTGAGTTCCGCCCACCCCCCAGGTGAAGCCGGGTGGGCGAGGGCAGGGGCTGGCCGGGGATGCCGGGAGGTGGAGAGGGGGGCGCGCCCCCGGGCTGGCAGCGTGCGTGTCCGGGCACGATCTTGAGGGAGCCGTCCGAGTAGTAGTAGCCCACGGGATCCCAGAGTTTCTCATCGGTCTCCGGGCCGGGCCTGAAGGGGGGACTGGTGGGCTCCTTGGGCAGCTCCAGGGGGTACACCAGGGTCCTCTCTGCCGCCTTGGCGCCTTTCTCCAGCTCCTCCCGCAGCCGCCGGCGCAGTGACAAAACAAGCAGCAGCAGGACCAGGCACACGGCTCCCAGGGCCACCACGGCCAGCCACACCAGCCCCAGGTTTTCCAAGGGCGCTCGAGCCTCCAGGGTCACCGACGGGCCTGCCACCACAGCCACCAGGTAGCCTTCAGCAGCCAGCCTCGCCCCCTGCTCCTCCGAAAAGCAGTGATAGGCCCCGGCATGGCGGGGCTGGGCAGCCATCACGACCAGGGCCTGCAGGCGGGCGTCATAGAGGAAGGAGCCGGGCTGTTCCGCAGGCAGGTCTCGGCCCCCAAAGGTCCAGCGGGCATGAGCCAAGTTGGAGGAGAGGCGGCAGGGCAGCACCAGGTCTGTGCCTGCCACCACGGTGATGTTTTTGGGTGTGAGCCTGACTGCAGCAGTAGAGAGGGAAGAGAGCAGAGTTAGCACAGGAAACCCAGGGCCACAGGGAGCAGCAGACGTTCTAGCTCATGCCCAGGGCCCATCCTACCCAAAGAGGGAGAAAAAAGGCAGCTCACCTTTTTTATTGCCACGGAGATTACAAATGCCTGAGGTGTCTGAGACTGCCACGTGCTGGATCAGCAAGGACCTGTTTGGGGAAGCAGGGTCCATGGGCATCGTGGCTCCCACCACCCTGCCCCTCACCCCTGGTCCCAGCACGTGCAAAGCCCCACTCACCCAGAGTGGCCACCCACGGCTATACATCGGCTGGCGTTGACACTCCAGGCACAGTAGGGGTCCCGAGCGAGGACACAGTCAGCACAGGAGCGGTACTTCACGCAGTCGGCCAGGGGCAGCTGAACCAGTTGAGAGCGGGAGCCTGCAAAGAGCAGCTTCTGCAAGGGAAGCAGGACACAGGGGGGTCAGCCAGGCTGGGACACGGCCCAGGGCCAGCTCAGACTGCTGCATGAGAGTGCAAGGGCAAAGGTGCCCACGGAGGAAGAGGGCCGTGTTCAAGTCTGAGGGGGGAATCAAAGGACCGAAGAACACACAGAGGGCTTACTAGAAGCCAGACACAATCCTAAGCACCTTAGAGATGTGACCTTCTTAGACAAGAACAGTGGAACTGTGAGGCTGAGGAATATAATCACACACACACACACACACACACACACACACACACACACACACACACTCTCCAGTACAGTATAAATAGTGCAGGAAGTGTGTTTTCCGCTAGGCCCATTCGCCCTCACAATAGCACGAGCATAGTATAAGGTGTTTTCCTCTGTTTGAATGGTGACTGCCAATCCATTTGTTTCTTCAACCACAGACCTTCTTTCTGCCACTATTCCATGTTCTGGAGAACAATCTGAGCCACAATAGTTGGTCAAGGCAGAACACATGAGAGTTCAGGGGAGTCACAATGCAGGCCAGAAGGAATGGTAGGATGCAAGGAGAAGCAGTGCTTCAGACGAACAGTCAAGGGACTGGAGGGCCGGGACCGGGCAGCAACGGGGGCCAGTAGGAAAGCCAGTGTCATAGGGCGTCCTGAACAAACAGCCCCAGAGGCCCGCTCAGCAGTGGCCCCACCAGAGAAGAGGCTGTACGTAGCAGAGACACAGCACAACCTCAAGGAGTCTGAAGGAAGCATGGGGAGCAGCTGCCAAGGCCCAATTCTGGGAACACAGCCCCGTGGGGACCTGGCTATATATAACGCCCGCGGAGCGCAGATTCCGTTAGCACTCTTGTTTCCTGGAACCCGCCCCAAGCTAAGCGAGGTGTGTTCCAGTGCCGCTCCCCACCCCGGCACTGGCCAAGCAAAAGACAAGGGAAGGCGGAGGGACAGAGTGGGGTGCTGATTACTACCTTGCTCCGGGATAGAACCAAGCTTTCCACAGGCTCCTGGTCAAACACCTGCAGCTCCTCAATCAGGTGCACCCAGGACCCCAGGCTCACAGCCTTGAGTAGCCAGCCGCCTCCTGTGGGGGTTGGGGGAAGACAGGTGTAAATGAGAGGGCACAGGGCCCTGGGGGCCGCTCCAGATCTCCCTACCCCAGACACCCAGCTTCGAGCAGCCGTGCCCGCATCCCCAAGTGCCTACCTGTGCCAATGAACAGCACTGTATAGGTGGCTCCATCAAGCCCCGTAACCCGGTCAGCCACCAGGTGAGTGAAGTTGGTGTCCTTCTTCACAAGCAGAGGCCGGTTCCAGCGAGGCCCTACCTGTTCCTCCATCAGTGGGTGCTTCTTGATGAAGTTGAGGGTGTTATCAGGCAGCTCCAGAGAGCTGGTGTAGCCATGGCGCCGGTGCCAGTTGTTGATGCACTGGGGTGGGGCGGGGAGGGGGGTGAAGGGGGGACAGTGGTCAGCATGTGCGGGTGGGTACTGCAGCTGAGGCCAGAGCCCATCCCTGCTCCGGAGGACTCACCGAGCCTGGCCGCGGGCTGGGTACAGGGTCAGTATAGCGGCCCCACTTCTGGGCTTGCTCACGGTACTCCTTGTAGGGACCCTCGAATACCCTCTGGATCTCTTCCAGCTGGTACTCACAGACTGCTGACATGTCCACATCGCCCCTGTCACAGCAAAGGAGGGAGCCCTAGTGTCACACATGGTGCCTCCTTTACCCCAGTCCATGGCATGTACGGGGAAGGCAGGGCCCACATAAAGCAGTCATGGGCGTGTGCAATGGAAGGTCTGCTCTAACATACCACTTGGGGGGGAGGGCACTGCGCAGCTTTCCCCCCACCTGCCGTGGCAGGAGGGTGCTCTGCAAAGAGGCAGATGCCCAACATCCTCCCTGGCTTCCAGTCAACTGACTACTTGGACTTTACCCAGAGGCCTGCACCAATCAACCATCCCTGACCCGAAAACCTCCTCCTCCCCAACCCCCAAGGATTCCTGGCCAACTCACCACCGGGCCCGAAAAACCCCGAAGAAGGTGGTGTTGTGCCAAGAGGCCTCCTGCAGCGTGTGCAGTGCCTGCAGTTGGTTGAAGTAGAGCTGCCAGTCGGGGGCAGAGCACACCAGCCTCGCCTTCAGGAACGTGGTCCACTTCCTCTGCAGGGTCCGTGCACCCCCCATGTCTCCCTGGCAGATGGCAAGGGGGCACTGTTGGTCAGTCCTGCCAAGCCAGCAGGGCTCCCAGGGCTCACCACTGCAGGACTCCGTACCTTGCAGACCCGGGCTACCCGAGCCACCACCTGTTCGGCGTAGCAGTCATACTCCACCGCTCGCTCGCTGAAGAAGAAGTAGACCTTGTCATCGTCCCCCGTGAAGCTGCCCACACTCTCCGGTATGTAGGCAGAGCCAACAAAATGCGGTTCTACAGGAATGGGAGGAGGGTTAGTGAGCAGTCCTGGGGCCCTTGCAGGGCCCCCCACCCATGGCTCTCCCTCTCTCCACGCCAGCTCCTTGGGGCTCACCATTGAGCCAGAAGGCCAGGTATTCCGTCTTCATGGAGTGGTGAGGCCCCATGTTACGCAGGATAACGGGCTCTGTACCTAGGAAGTTGTTGAGCGTGGCCGAATACAGCTCACCGTCTATGGGAGACAGAGGGTCAGGCAGGCCAGAAGAGACATGAAGACACATTCAAGCCACGCAGACCCAAACGAGTTTTGGGGAATGCCCCAGTCTGCAGTGGGGACAGCCACTCACCCACAAGGAGGCCAGTGTGGCCCTTAGCTGGGTCATAGGGACATTTTCCCTTCCCATCTTCAAACTCTCCACGCTCCAAAGTGAAGGTGAGCATGTCCTAGGGGCAGGGAAGAGACAATAAGGATAAGATGCAGAATGCTGGGGGGTCCAGAGAAAGGTAAGGAGGGGGATGGAGGGGAGAAGAAAGCACTCACGATGTAGGTGCACTTGGGCTGGAAGGCGTAGGTGCCGCAGACATACAGGTGGGAAGTGTTGTAGGGCTGCAGGAAGCGGATGAAGTTGAAACACTCCGTCTGGGAGAGAGAGGCATTCATTTAGAGTGGGACATGGGACACAAGGACCAAGAATGGGTCTGGGACAATGGGAGAGGGTCAGGGTAGGGGGGAGACAGCACGTGCCATGAGGCCTGGCCAGTGGAAGTACTGAGGCTCTGGCTCTCCTGGCCTAGTCTGAGCACCCACCTGGTTACTCTTCCCTTTCTGGATGCACTCGGCCTTCTTCTCAGCTGGTGCCTCCCAGGAGATCTGGGAAGGGGGCAAAGGGAGGCACGTCAACATCTCAAGTACACAGTAAGCATGTGCCCTGAGTATGTGCCACAAGCATGGCCTGTGGCAGCCACACAGGGATACCACAAATAAGGATATACAGACCCCATTCTCTGGGAGTTTATTTTAACAGAGGACAGAAACCCTAGACTGCCCCAAAGCTGCAGATGAGGGAAAAGCATGCCCACTCTGCTAGGAGGGTGGGCCTAGAGACTGAGCAAAATTTCCACAGGGTTGAGGGGACAGCTTGATCCAGCAAAGCCTCTCTGAGTCCTGCCACTCTCACCACTCCTGTGTGCCTCCCGCTCCCCCACCTCTCACCGCTCCTTGCAGCTCCAGAGCCTCCACGCTGAAGACAAACAGGGCTTCCCGGGCCCCCACGTAGAGAAGCCCTGTCTGCTCAGTTAGGGTCAACGTCAGGAAGTCCTGGGTGCCCGATTGGGAGAACCGCCGTACTACTGTGGCCAACTCTGCAAGGACAAGATGGGAGTCAGTAGGGCGGTGAATGGGCAGGCCTTCCTGGGGCTCTATCTAGGCACCCCCCCCCCCCAATCAGCCTTCCTCTCCATAACAGTCTCCTGGGCCTAATCACTTGTATTGACTACATTACAGCCAGCACCCCACGAGCAGATGCCAGCTAAGCACCCTGACCGGCGATAATGGGCCTTCTCTAACAACCTTTTGGCTCTGCTAGCTCCACCCAAGCCTCCCTGGCCTTTCCTAGCCTGGGAGGTGGCAAATGTGGGCTGATGAAGAGGAAGGAAGGATATCTCAGCCACAGCTTCCGGCCAGAGGAAGCCATCAGACTGATGGCCCTCATTCTCAGGGTCAACGGCACCTCTGGCTGCAGAGCTGGGCTCTTCCCCCTCCCAGCTTCCTCTGCTACTGCTTCCTTCTTTGCTGCCCGGTGCCACATCAAGGTCCAGCCGGGCCCCAGATCCTGATCCAGCAAAGCAGTATGTACAGAAGTTGCCTTAGGAAACTCTTCACTCCAGCGGGCCTCAAATCCAGGCTGCCAGAGGTACAAGCCTGGGGCAGGCAGGGATGGCAGGAGAGTGAGTTGGGCCTGGGAGGCCAGGCCAGGATGGTCAGGGGAAGCCAGAGGCTAGGGACCAAAGAAGGCACTGAAGCCTCAGGGCTGGGAAGCCTTCTTGCTGTTCAACCATGAAAGGTACGACAACACTGATATAGTCTCAGGATTCCTACGTCAGCACCCAAAATAGCTACCGACCTGTCCTCAGGGTCCCCCTAAACCAGCCTTAGTCTTTGGAGCCAGACACAGGCTGGCAAGGGAGGGCTTCATTAGCCCCCGTGTGGAGCCTGTGGGAGGTGAGCTCATCCCAGGTCCCCAGAGAACACAGATGATACAAACACCTGACATCACCTCTTAGTACAGGTGTGCTCCCGCAAAGGGCTGTCAGGGCTGCTGCTCCGCCCCCCCCCGCCCCCCCAAGAACACGTGCATAAACACATCCAGGGCCACCAGAGGGCACAAGTGTCAGGGCAGCAGAAGGGGTCTATTAGGGCTGATAAGGGGGCTCCTGGGGCCAGAAAGCCAGAAAGATTTTGGGGAGGAGGGGTGATGACACTCTCTGCCTTATACTATCTGGGGTCAGTTTTCTCTGTGGGCTCATGCAAGTGCTAGTCCAGAAGTAAGACATAGGGAGAATGATACAGAATGGTCTCTCTTCCTTGCAAAACAGGGGCAGCCAGGTCCTGTCCTAAGCCTCTGAAGAAAGGATATCCCAGGACTACTAGTTTTGGGTCCCTGGGGCCACTCTCTCTCATTTCTTAGAAAGCCGTGTCATAGACATTGGTGGGCTTCGAGCCCGACAGCAGAATAAAGCTGGCACAATCTAGGGGCCATTGCTCCTCTCACCCCACCAGTCCCTCCTGACCTCCCCTCCCCACATTGGTCTTCCTCCTGAAGACTTTAAGCACTCACCCCCAGAAGATACGGTCTTCCGGGGCACCAGGTTCCACCACATCTCAGCCCCGATGCCCAGGCCCCACAGCCCCACTGCCAGCAGCCAGACAGCCCAGTGTGGGGCCATGGCAAAAGCCTCGGCTCTAAGCTCCAGGCCAGCCGCCCTGCTGGGGGAAAAGAAAGGGTCAGAATCACAGCCAGAGAAAACAGACCGGAAGGGGGCCCACACAAGCCCATGCCGGGAGGCGGGAGGCGTGCTGACAGTACAGAAGACCTGATCAGGTCTCCCCAGGAGCCTTCTAGATTCCCCACTTGCCAGTCGTTGGAGCAGAGCCTAGGTCCCCTCCCACACCTGGCCTCAGCCCCCACAGCCTTCAAAGGAGGTGGGGACCCCGAGAGGGGAGGGGAGGAGCTGAGTCAGCTGGAGGGGTGGGCACTCCAAGAAACCTCTGGCCTCCAGGCCCTCTCCCACTCCCTCTCAACAGGAAGTTGTTTAAGAAAATTAAAAAGGGACCGCTTCCCCCACTCAGGCCTGACAGAGTTGAGGATTTCTTAAAATAACCTCTGGAAGCAGGACCTGCCCCCAATGGGGCTCCAGCCGGCCCCAAGATCTACTTCTGTCACGAAAACCCCTTGGCAGGGTGAAGGGGCATAGGGTGGGTGGGTGGGTGGGTGGTTGCAGAAGGCCCCCACCGCCCCCAGGGAGCGGCCTTGATGCATCAGGCGTGTGGGGTGCGGGCCCCGGCCTCTCCCCTCCCCCAGCGCAGACAATAGCCCGGCAGAGCCCCAAACCCGGCTTCCACATCAGCAGGGCTGAAGTGGGGCCGGAGCCGAAGGGGCCCAGCTTCCCGAGGCCCCTTTGTTGCCCAAGAAGGGAGGCAGGAAGTGGGTGGGATGGGCGTGGAAATGACCAGGGCCTCATCCTGTTCCTCGCACAGCCTCCTAGGCGACACTAGCCCTCCGGCGTTGGGGCGCGGGACAACGGAGCCGGCTCCGGTCTCATCAGGGATCTCCCGCGACGCTCTCAGGCGGGGGCGGGGGGAGTCGAGGCGCGTGCGGGGCGCGAGGAGGGCTCCTCTCGGACCGCGGGGGACGCCCAGGGCAGGGCCGCCTGCTGCGCTACCCGCGGGGCTGCCCAATCTGCCCAAGTCAGGCACTGCGCCCCGGGACCCCGGCCTGGGCCGACCATCCGGATTAATTTCCACTGCCCGGTACAGAGGCACAGAAGCTGGGGACCTGCTCACCCCAAAACAAAGGGTCCCCGCCCCCGCCAAGACCTGGTCCTCGGCCACCCCCCACCCCCAGGCTCTCCCCTCCCCCAGCTCCCGGGATTTGAATGCAAACAAAGCGGCGGCGCTGGGAGCGTGGCGAGCCCGGCCTGCGGACGCCCCCTGTCGGCCCAGTACCCCAGCACTGGAAGGGCGGGGGGCTGGGGGTACGTTCACCCCTCCCTCCTCCGCCCCCCAACACACCCCCAGGCCTCCCTCGCCCCTTACCCTAGCCCGGGGCCGGACCCCGCGGCGCGCTCCGAGACGCGACCAGCACGGCGGCGCCCCCACCCCCAGCTCCTCCCAGGGCGGGGAAGCTGGGGCCGCGGGCGGGGAGGGGGCTGCAGGAGCGCGGGGCCCGGGCGCGGCGCCCCCCACCCTCGCCACCCCGAGCGGCTGCAGCGCGAGCGCTCCCGCCGGGGACCGGGCGGCCAGGCGTGGGTCGGGAGCTTGGCTTTCCAGGGCAGCCCGCCTCCCCGGCGGGCGGGGGGCCGCGGCAGGGAAACCCGATCCCACAACATCGGCCACGGTCCAAGCCCGCCCCAAACTTTCCGTCGGCGGTGGGGGGGCGGGGGCAGTTCGGGGGCCCGGAGAGGATCCCGGCCGCCGACCCGACAGCACGCGGCGCCCCTCTCCCCTTCGCCCCGCTCTCCCCGGCCAGTCCGCGCCTCCGGGCGCTGTGGCTGCGGGCGCTGCCTGCCCGGCGGCTCGCGGGGGGCGCAGGAGGGACCCCGGGCGGACTGCCGCCCCCGCCGCCACCCGTGCCCGCGCCCCCGGACCCTGTCCTCCGCGCGGGCGGCGGCCCCTGCCCGAGTCGGGGACAAAGCGGCGGCCCCGGAGCCCCGGTGCTCCCGCCCCGCGCAAGCCTGGCCTCACTCACCTCTTCTGCGCGGCTTGAATCCCTGGGCGCCGCCCTCGCGTTCGGCTCGGACCACGGTCCGCCCCTACCCGCGCGCCGCCGCCCGCCTGCGCGCGCCCGCCCTCCTTCGCGGTCCCCTCCGCCCCCGCCCCTCGGTCCCGGCTCGGCTCGGCGCCCCTGGGCTCGGGCTCCCCGCGCCACCGCGCCACCGCGCCACCGCGCCGGGCGCCGGCTCTTTCTCCGGCGCTGCCGCCGCTCTCCGCCCCCTCCCCCCTGACGTCAGGCGCGGGGGGGCCGGCAGCGGAGGCCGGGGGCGGGACGCAAAGGCCAGCGCCGGAGGGGGCTGCGACCCGCCGCGACCCGCGGGGGCCCCCGGCTCCCCTCCCGCGCGCTCCGACCCCCGCCTCCCCTCCCGCGCGCCCCGCCGCCCCGCGCCTCGCCGCGCCCCGCCGCCCCGCCGCCCCGCCGCCCCGCGCCTCGGAGTCGCCGTCTGCGCCACAGCGCGGGGAGGTGGGGCGGGGGAGGGACTCCGGGCGCTGCCTTGGGGGTTCGGACTCACCCGGTCTTTCCGAGGTGTCCACCCGCCCCCCGCAAGGCCAACCGCGCGGGCTGGGCGGCAGGGCTCGGGGATGGGGCGGAGGAGCACCCCACGCTGCAGTCGCAGGAACCAACGCGGGCAAGCCACCTCGGGGCGAGTATCCCAGGGAGGGGAGCAGGGGAAACCGAGGCTCTGCTTTGGGGCGGACCAGAGTGGTTTCTCTTTTGACCCCAGGGCCCCCCGGCCCCCCGCAGTCACGCTGGAGCGGGTCTTACCAGCCAGGAAGACCCACTTATCTCCGGGGAGGCTGCCCCTCGGTTTTCATGCTCCACACCGAGGGACAGCGGCGCGCCGGCCCAGCTCCCGGTGAAGACGATCCTCCGGGAGACTCCTGTTGCACAGAGCCTGCCCCCAAGAAATGACTCCTCCTGATGCCACCGGAAGGCTGGACAACAAGTGACAGGAGCTTGAGCTCTCCTGTTCAGATGAAAGCGGCTGAGGGGAAGCCGAGCTGGAGAACTCCCACCTCTAGAAGCGCCTGCCCCCGCCCACAGCAGCTCCTAGAAGTCACTTGTGGCTCTGGCCTCCTTCCCTGGGCGGTGCTGGAGTGGACCTTGCCAGCTGGTCCTCGGAGCTGGGCAGGTGGACAAACCCCAGGGAAGCCGCCCCATCGGCACCCAGTCACAGATGCCTCCTCTTGGCTAGGGGCAAATGACAGAGGTAGAGAGACTGGAGCCCCGGGGCTTTGGTGGTAACTTTAAGCGAGAGCAGTCCTAGAGGAGAGGAACAGTGTAGAGCCCCGTCAGCAGATCTGGATTATAAATCAGTCCCGACAGGAGCTTTTGTTCTGAGTTAAAACTTGGCATCTGAAAATGGAGACCAGAAGAGTAGTGGAGATAATTGGGAAAAGCAGCCCAGTTTGGATTCAGTAACAATCGGGTCTTTGCTGGTACGCATAAAGGCCCCTTCTCCCCCACTGGCCAAAGCCACATTTCCCAGCTCCTTTCCACCAGGGGAAAAAAAAAAAAAAAAAAAAAAGCTGTGGTCTTGGAGATGCTGGAGATAGAGGGCAAGCCAAGTTAACAGCATGGGATGGGCAGGGAAGGTTCTGTGCTTCAGCTGGCCGGGAGGGAGATGTGTTTGACTCCTCTTCCAGGTTAGACGCTGTGATTAAGTGGAGGTAGACTGATAGGCAAATATCCTTCACATTTGTTCTGGGCTTTAGACTTTGCAACACACATTTCCTCACATCATCCTCATGACCACTCTTCAACAGGCAGCTATTGTTTCTCTGATGTTAGAGATAAAATGAGTCTCTGGAGGGTTTAGCAACCTGCTCAAAGTCACATAGATAATTAGCAAGATCAGAATGTTAAATCAGGTCTTGGGACTCCCAATTCTATCCTTCCACTAAGTCAGAGTGCATCTGGACAGCTTTTAAGCTCCAAACAGCATGTCTCCTGCGGCTTTTCTCACCTCTGCTCCCACCCCCACCAGGCAGAGACTTGAGCTCCTGGCTCCATCTGCAAGATGGCCCCAGTGGAAAGTTTGAAAGGTGGTTTGGTTTCACTGGCAGGTACAGTCTTCTGGACGTTATGGCGGGCTTCTCCATCACTGCCCTTCCCTCCCCAGTGCTCCTCCAAGATAAGGCTGCAGCTCCCCCCCAACCCCCTGTTCTACCTGCACTCATTTCCTGCCGGGTTCTGTTCATTTCCAGCGCTGGCCTTTTCCATGGGTGGGTGGACAGAGGATAAAGTTTCCTGCATGACTACTTGCTCATGATTCATACTTTTTAATAAAAGCACAACTGGTCAAAAAAGAGGATTCCTGGGTTTTAGATTAAGAAAGGGGAACAAAAGAAGTCTCCTGTACCTGTCGTGTACTCCCTACGGCCTGTCTGGCATATTCTATTTAAAACACCTATGCCTCAGGCCTTAGACCCTGACAGACCCTCCTGCTCACCTGCTTGCAGCCAAGTTAAAGACCTAGATATGCTAAATGCCTTCTAAGGTTCTCTAAAGATCCGCTGGCAGCTCAGCTGAGGCCAGTCCCTATAGATGGGCCCAGGAGTCTTATCTGAAAAGCAAGCCCCCGCCCATTCCCCCACTTATGTGCCATGGTGTCCCTCCTTTGAGCTCCTTACCCCTAGCTCTTGAGAGGCAGCTCTCAGACCGGGTGGAGCCCAGGATTCACACTGAGTTTCTCCAGTCAGCACTGCCTGGCTGACTTACAAAGGATCCAGGAGCTGCTGTCAACCCACAGAGGGGGAAATGAGAAACCCCGGGTCAGCCACCCTGCAGGGATCTTTCTGAGGGCCTGGGGACCGAGGTGAGTGGGGATGTAGGAAAAGGACTTCCTCTCTCTACTTCCTCCTACAGGAGAGTTATCAAAGCTGTCCACCTGGGAAGCCTTTCCCTTCCCAGCCCCTCCCTGCCACCATCACCAAAAGGAAGCAGGAAAACATCCGTCATCACAGCCCCGGATGCTGACTTTCCAGTGGCTTCAATCAGGATATCCCTCAGTCTTTTCCCAGGGGCTCAGGGATCTGGAAAGGGCAAGTGGTGAAGCTGCCAGCACCATTGTGGAAATCTTGGCCTAGAGGAGCCTGAGTCTCTGGTCTCAGACCAGTTTGAGAAGATCTGGTCAGCTCCCAGCCAGTTCCAGAGAGGGCCCATTACATGTCCCAGGAGATATGGGACGCCCTTGGGTGACCTCAAAGCACACCCCTCTGCTCAGGTTACAGCAAAGTCTCTGGAGGGACGGAGTAGTCACCAACACCTCCTTTCTCCTTGGTATCTATTTCCCTCTTGGGGATGAGTGTGTTTGGGGAACGGGGGAGGTGGGGTCAGTGCACAAGGACCAGGACTGGGGAGAAGGGCCGCAGACGTCCCTGTGCCATCTCTTTCTCAGAGCTACGTAGGGACAACTTAAAGAACTGGAAACTCCCCAGTTCAGCCTCTTAGGCTTCCCTACTCCCTCTCTGCCCTTGGCAGTGAGAACAAAGAGGGGAAATTTCAAAGGTGATTTCCAGGTTTCCAGAGCAAACTGAAGAGCTGAGGATTAACTGTCAGGATGTGCAATGTCAGAAGTAGGGGCAGCCCTGAGGGACGTGAAGGAGGCTGGCTTAATGGAGCCTTTGCTCTTTTATCAGAGGATCTCAGGCCTACCTGATGCCGCTGGGGGCCTCAGTGGCGCCCCGGCCAGGGAGCCCTGTGATGTGGCCAGGAACAGAAACTAGAACTCTCGTTCGAGTCACCTGGGCATCCGAGTCACCCTGGCCAAGGACTTCTTCCATCTCTCACCTGGCAAAGGGAGCATGGCAGGGAGATGACCTGTATGGCACCTAGCACGCTTCTGTGAGCTCGTGCCCTCTGAATTATAGATGCCCCCAGCTCCTAGCTTTCTGGGCAAGGGAGGCAGCTGTGTACAGGTCTCGGGGGCACCTGAGTGGCTCAGGCGTTAAGCGTCCAACTCTGGATCTCCACTCAGGTCTTGATCTCAGGGTCATGAGTTCAAGCTGCGTTGGGCTCCACACTGGGTGTGAAGCCTACTTAAAACAAAACAAATAAAACAGGCCCAGAAAGTGATGAGCTACCTACCCTTCAGTTCTGCTGATTGAGCCACTTGTTCTGAAGGTCCTTTATTTGGGGGGAGTTTCATCCCTAGTTAGCCTGCCTTACCCTAACCCCCGTGGCATGAAGGAGCAAATGAGAGGGGCACATAAACTGAGATAGTCGCAAGCACCAGCCACGGTGAAGCTCCATCAGCAGACAATCTGGTTGAGCTGAGGAGTGGGCACAGGCCACACTGGTGCAGGGGTCATCCTGTGCTACTTCCACCTCTATGGCCCCATGCAACCCCCTCTTTCAACCCAAGTCAGGAGGGGCCTGATACTAAAATGGACTCTGTGGGTTGGCGTAGACAGAGATTGGGGATACCCAGGGATCTCCCCAAGGGTGCACAGGGCCCACCCAGTCCTCAAGGGGGATGGGCCAAAGACATCCAGCACGTCATTAAAACCCACCAAACTGATCTTGGGTAAGCCTGAGGGAAGGCAGCATCTAGAATGGTCTTTTGGCACACACCCCCACCCCTTCTAATTCTGGGGAGTTGATTTCAGAACTCAATGATAAACTGAATTAAGTGTAATTACAGCTCACTCTGTGGATCTTTCCCAGAAGGGGCAGTGAGTGGTGAGGGAGAGGCGGGTAGTCCCGGACTGGGTCCAAACAGACATTCCCTATCCCTGCTCCCTCGGTTTCTGACAGCTCTCAGGCCACAGGAATAACTGCTCCTCCCTCAGGATTTACAAAGAGCCTTCTGGGGCAGGGGGTGGAGTCTAAGACGACTGGGTCACATGACTGTTGAGGTGGGAACTCAGCACAGTACCAGCAGGGATGTCAGGAAACTGGACACTGGGCACTTAGGACAGGGACTGGAGGAAATCATCTAAGCCACCGATGCTGAAATAAGACTTTAGTGTGCACAAAGAAAGCTCACATTAGTGACAGAGAAAGGAAGGAGAGTGGGGAAGGCCCAGGAGGGCCCTGGGAAACTGGAGTGTGGACATAAAGGCCTGGGGGCAGAGGAGGCAGCCGGAATGGGAAGGAGGGCTGAGGGGTAGGCCAGGCAGGGAGGCATCATGTTCATTGTCCTGTCGGGGTCAGGGGCAGCGTGGAGGCAGGCTCTTGCTTCATCACACTGGTCCTCCTCTGGCCTCTGTTCTTTGCTTCCTCCTATTCCTTGAGCCCTGTTCACTTCCTGCCAGAGCCAACAGTTGGAGACTGTTGTCTTTCCAGGGGTTGAAGTACTGAGCCTGTGGCAAAGAGAAAAACCGTATGATGGCCCCGGCCCGGGTGGTGCCCACTGTCCTGAAGCTCCCGGACTCTCCAGCATCAGCATCCATTGCAGGCCTCCTCATGCCAGGTGCTGAGCTACAAGAGTCCTATGGCTCCCAGGGCAGGAGAGGGCACGGCGGGTCAACAGGCCACTTGACCACAGCGCATGCGTGCTCTGCCTGGCTTCCCTCTCCTTGTGGCTTGAAGGCCCAGGGCAGTGTGATAGGAAGGTGGGGCCTGCCCCCTGACTTGGCCAGGCCACAAGTCACTTTTCTTTCTCTTCATGACAAACACACTGTTTCCCACCAGAGACTAGTGTGATCTAGTTCCCTGGGGATTGAGGGTGAGGTCTGCTCTCCAGCTTTCTCAGAGACTTGCGAAATCTGAGACCCAAGCCACAGCCTGTGGCCAATGTGTCAGCCCCAAGTCAGAGGTTACAGAAGGAAGGACAAGCAGAAAAAAGTCAGAGGATTGACAAGTTGGGAGCCTGAGGAGCATTGGGAGGATGAGTGGAGAAATGCTCATCAGACCCAGCCTGTCTCTGTCAAGGCCTGGGGGCTAGGGGAGGGAAGAGCCCCCCTAAGCCAGAGGGTGCTGCTTGTCAGCGGGATAGAAGCCAGAAGCTTGGCTGCCAGAGCAGGGCTTGGACTGTGCTTAAATCTGTAGGTTCCGGAGTCAGGCCAGATGTGTGCCCTGGTTCTGACACACACATTGCCTTCGTGATGGGGCAAGCTATTCAATCTCTCAGTGACTGGTTAGCTTATCTGTGAAATGGGATTGTAACAATACCTGTCTCATGGAGTAAAGGGGTCATTGTTCAGTATAAGCTATGAGTATTATTACCTAAGAGAGCCCAAGAAAATTAGGGGCATGGAGGTTGTTGCTGCAGGAATTGGAGGGACCAGGGCAGACTGAGAGGGTCCCTCCCAGCAGAGTAGGAGGCCAGCCTCAGGCCTGCGGGACAAGTGGACAGAGGGTAGACAACTGGTGCATCTGGTGCCCCTTCTTGGGGCATTGCTCACCGCTACTACTCCCTAGGGTGAGGTTTTTCTTTGCAATTGCCCAGGAGTTGGCCTCTCATCTCCCCCTCACTACACCCTTGCCCTGGGCATTTGATTCTTTTTTTTTTTTTTAAGATTTTATTTATTTATTCATGAGACAGAGAGAGAGAGAGAGAGAGAGAGAGAGAGAGAGAGAGACAGGCTCCATACAGGAAGTCTGACGTGGGACTTGATCCCGGGTATCCGGGATCACGCCTTGGGCTGAAGGCGGCGCTAAACCACTGAGCCACCTGGGCTGTCCTGGGCATTTGATTATTGGTAAGAGTGATAAAGGTCCTCTGAGGCATCTCCACTACCCCCCCTCCACCCACGCTGCCCTCTCCACCCATGGCCAGCCAGGAGCTCAGTAGTTGCAGTGGGGGTGGACATGCTGCTGGCTCTGGTTAGCTGGCCTGACCACTTCCCTCCCCTCCCTAGTCTAGGGGTCAGAGGGGTCACCACCTGGGGCTGGCAGTGGGCCAGCAGCTCCTGCCAGCGGATATAGGTCTGGGCAGCCAGGTCCTTGAGTCTGGTCCAGTGCATGGCTTGGGGACTCTCCCGGATATGGGTGCTGACATGGCGGTCCAACTGCAGGCAGAGCAGCTGCAGATCTCCCTGCAGGGATGGGGTGTGCATGGGGGAGGGTGTATGTGGCATAGGCCAGGCCCAGCCACAGCAGGGGAGTAAGGAGAACAAAATCAGAGAAAGAGAGGAATGGATTTGAATGCCTGGTCAGAAGTAGGGCAGGAAAGGGAGGAGCTTGGGTCAGTATCCCTTGGGAATGCCTTGTGGGACACTGGGAAGAGGAGGGAACCTTGCTCCCTCAGCACTTCTTTCACAGCCTCCCATCTCAGCCCCCAGGGATACTCACCCATTGGTCTGGAGTAATATCCTGGCAGCTGACCACCACCCCAGCCAGTGTCAGCAGGCTGTAGCACAGGTAGCAGACCTGGAAAGACCACAGAGAGACAGGCTCCCCTAACTCCGTCACCTCCAGACACCTTGATCTCCGGCCCAGGGGCCGAGGATGGGGACTCAGCCCACCACTGGGCTCCTAGTGAGTTTCTAGGGAGGTATCCTTATGGAGGGCTGTGGACCCCCTCATTCAGAACCTTCCCTCTGACGGATGATTGTTCTTCATTGAGAAAAAGAAACCTCTGCCATCCAGAAATCTATACTGTCACTTAGCCCTATCCCAGGAGCCCGGCAGAGAAAGCATTCTGGGGAGAGGGCCCTCTGACCCTGCATGGTGTCTGTGGTCTTGCTCTGTTCCCTGAGGAACCCATGCCAGATGCCACTATTCTCTATGGGGGTACCTGGCCCCTGGGTGCCCAGCTTGCCTGTCGGCAGAACACCACTTGCACAGACAGATGTGTAGCCCTGTGTGGACAGTCAAAGCATATTGAGCCAAGAAGGATGGTGAAGAGAGGGGAGACAGGAGACAACTTTGGTTAAGCATCTGCAGGCTTACTCTCCAACTTATACCCTTGTTCATGCCCCCTGGATACTCTGAGGAGTACAAACAGGACCCAATCCTATCTGCTCAGGAATGGTTTGATCCCAGGGTGCCCTTGGACTCTGTCGGTACCCATTCTTTTATGGGACATTTATCTCTACCAAGACAAAATGAGGCACAGGGAGGGGAGTGTCCTCAAAGACAGGCATGGCTTCTGATGTGAAAGGCAGCAAGCTCCTGGCACTCTGAACTCCTGTCTGCGGGTATGCCCCTCCTCCACTCAGAAATGCCTGCTGCCTGGTCCCCTTCAGACTCCTCGGTCTGAGATAGAGAGGGTGGCAGGAAACAACCCCACCACTGTGCCCATCGCAGATAACTAGCTCTGAGGCTGAGCTGGGATGGGAGAGGCAAGCTCCAGAGAAGGCAGGCAGGGCTTAAGCACGGTAATAGCAGGGCTGGGGCTCCAAACCAGCCCAAGACTCCCCTGTGCCCCTACTTCCCCTGCCCATATCATCCAGAAACAGCAGCAGCCACTTTGCATGGACCCAGGAGCCTCCTTAGGGCAGGAGCCAGAACCATTTTTGAGGACACCAGACATGGTATTATGGAGTACTGTCTTCTCAAACTCAAAATACCATGGTGTAAAATCCTGAGAAGGGAAGCCACCTGCCCTCCCCCCAGCAGCACTTGTCTTACTCAGGACATAGCCTGTTCACAACAGCTGAGGCCCACAGGGGGCCTGACCTCATAATCCGGCTGGGTCCGGGCAACACCGCACACTGCAGGGAGGGAGAAGACAGTGTGGAAAGCCAAGGGGACCACGGGTGTGCCTTCAAGCAGTGCTGCCCCCAGGTTGGGGAAGATCCAGTCTCTGAGCCAGCTGCACCTGCCAGGTCCTGCAGCTGCCTATGCCTGAATCCCCCAGTTGGGCTGGCTTGTCAGTGAGCTGGCCTGCTGGCAAGCTGCTGCTTCCCACAGGCTCCCCTTCCCCAGCCTGGCTTTGCCTTAAGGAGGTCCACAGCATTCAGAACTCCTTCTAACTCTGCAGTCCTGGCAAAAGGCTCATGCCACCCCCACCGCCCCCATAAAGCAGACACAGGCCTGTGTGCCAGACACTGTCCCTTGACTAAGACACAGCCACAAATCCTTAGACATTAGAAAGAGATACTTCAGGAAGGCAGTCATTTGGTCAACAAATACTGCATCTCAGCTTCCCCATAGACCAAAAAGAAAGGGTCCTTCTAGGATTTTTTGGTGGGGGAGGGAGTGGTATACAGCTCAGAAGGCTTCAAGGAGGAAGTTGACTAAGCCTAGCCAGGCCTCAAAGGAACAGTAGGATCTGAGGTGAAGATGGCCCTGTGGGAATGGGGGCAGAGCCAAGATTACAACACCAGACAGATCCTCCGCTGATGCAAGAAACCGAGGCAGGGCACTTTGGAGGACCGACTACCAGGTAGCTGGCTCAGCTGGGGGTGAGGGGATACCCTGAAGGACTGGGCTGGCACCAGAGGGCTTGGACAGTGGGCAGTGGAAGTCATTCAAGGCTCTTGAACAGGGTGGCCGGGTTGTGGGGGACAGACTGCCCCCCTTCCCCCACCAGGAGGAGGCACTAGAATCAGTTGGGATGGAATACCACCAGAGTGCAAATGTGGCTGTGTCTGACAGGATTCTAGGACATCCTTCATCTTTTCTTTTCTCTAAGGTTATTTCTCTACAATGTGCGTGCTTTACTCCTATAATCCGAATACAATTTAAGCTTTTTACAGTTAATTTTAAATCGGAGAATACCAGTTATAACTGACTGAGCCTACTGGGTTTGGGGTGGGTGTGGGGGCAAAGGAGAGAGACATGACCCTGAAGAAAGCAGTGCTCTTGCTCTTAGGACCCAGGCTCGTCTTTGAGAGGGCACCAAGCAAACTGCTAGTGAGAGGCCGCAGGAGAAGCCAAAGAAAATACCCAGGGGCCGCCAGAGCCATTGGTGGGTTAGAGGAAGGTGGGGAAAGGCTCCAGAGAGATCTCTGCACGTCAGTGGCCCCTGTGCTGTATACAAAGCCTGGGCCTGAAAGGGACCTCAGAGCCACCCTGGGACTGGTACCGAGGCCAGTCTCTGTCCCTGGGGCCCTCAGGCCCCCACCCCCAGCCCAGCAGAATCTATCTTCCTAGAAGGGAGGCGTGGTGAGGGTGAGCCCAGGATCTGAGCAATGCCCTGGAGGAAAATTTGTGCAGTGGGGATTTACTGAGAGAAAAAAAAAGCAGCCTGGACGAAGGACTAGGGTGTGCGGGTTTCACAACTTCATTCCTACGCTGATTCCCATCACTGAATCCAGGGGGAAATCCCAGGAAAACTATTCTGAATGTGTGTTTTTTGGGGGGTGGACAGGGCGGGAGTATCAAGAAGGAAATGTTAGTTCTGTGAACCACATTTTGTAAGTTGTATTTCCCAAAGGGGGAAGGAAATCTTGCCCACTACCTGCAAGGAGGGCAGAATGCATTTTTCCTCACCCCCAAGAGTGATCCCTGGGGTTGGGGAGGCCCTTTAAAAAGGAAGACTTTGATTCAACTTAACGGGATACAGTTCCACTCGTGCAGAGAAATCACCAGAAAGACAGCAGTCTTTGTAATAGCACTTCTGGGGCAGGGTGGAGGGGGGTGATTAAGTTTCATACTATATGGGAAGTGCCCAGCCCACATGGTCCTCTCCCTCCCCCTAGACCCATGGCCCCAGCGCATTGAGGAGAGGTAAGAGAGCATCTGATCCCACCCAGACAACTGGACAGACAGACAGATGGGGGGCACTGGGTGCCCGAGGCTCCTTTGAACCCCCAGACTTCTCTCCCTTGCCCTGTTCTGTGAAGGTCCGAGGGGCAGACATCAGCATAACCTGGGGCTCTGGCCAGGAGGGGCTGTGCCCAAGCCTCCATCCTCCAAGGTAGGTAGGCCCTGAGCACCAGCAGCAGTGGGGAGAGCAGGCCTTTCCCAGGGGCCACGAAGTAAACCGCCAGGTGTGGGAGCTGAGTTTCCTGTTCCAGTTGTGCTGTGGCCAGCTCCTGAACTTAGCAAGCCCGGTCCTGTCCTGGCTGGCACCACGGAGACACGGGGCTCTGTCTTCCCTCTCAAGAGCTGGCCACAGAAAGAAAGACAGAGAAGGGAAGCTGGGCAGAGGCCATGCTGCAGTTGGTACACCAGAGGTCCAAGTCCCCTGCTGGCACCCATTTTCTCCACAGCTGGAAGTCCAAGGAGGCCCTTTCCTCAGCAGGAGGCACCTTCCAAGCTTCCAAGTCCCTAGGGGCATGTGTGTCAGGAGGGGGTAGAAGTCACTGTGGCTTCAGGGTGAGAGGGCAGTGCAGAGACACTTCGTGGGGTTGGGGGGTTGCCATGCATCTCTGACCTTCAGGATCTTGTCTGAGAAGTGGGCACCCACGGGTGCCAGCTGCCCAGCTCCTCCCTCGACTGGGTGTAAATGGAGGCTGGGAAGCCCCTACGGAACTCAGAGGGAGCCTGGGAAACCTCAGTCAGCAACCTGGGGAAAGGCAGAGTCGGAGGGCAAGGAGCGGGACGTGCCTGAACCCAATGCTGACAAGATGAGACCGTCGGTTTGTTCCCACCCCCGCCAGCTTTCATTTTCTGGGTTTCTCCCCAGAGTGTGGCAGGCCAACTTTTCTGAGAAGTTCTGTACAGGATGCCTCCTTCCTGGCTCTAGAGCCTTAAAGCCCTGCCCTCCCCCTGGGGAAGGACAACAAGGATGAGAGATAGGACTTGTCACCCTCTGAGGCAGAGAGGAGGAGGGGAAGGCCAGTGTCTCCTTTTCCCGGACTAGTTAGTGCTGACCCCAGGAACCACGGGCCAAGGCTCCGTCATAGGACAAAAGGGAAAAAGGGTGAACATTTCCCAGGAACTCCATCTTTTAGAAAACTCCCCTCTAGCTAATACCAAGGAAGTAGTCCTAGGCCTGGGTTATTTACATGAAAAAAAGAGCAGAAAAGAGGAGGCAGAGATCTCCCAGGAAGTCACTCCTGGTGAGAGCACCATGGTTTCTTCCACTTCAGGTCACGACCAAGAATCCAAGCTGGCCCCAGGCAAGCCTCCAAACCAAGCCTTTTCCCTGGAGACTGCCAGGTGGGGTGGGCCTCATGTGGGAGCAGGTCCAGTCAGGCTCCAAGGCAGCTGTGGGGGGGGGCGCGGGGGGGTGGTGGAGACAGAATAAAGGCTGACTCAGAACACCTGCTGGGGAAAACCAAGACTCACCAAAGGACATGGCCCTCGAGGCCTGGCTGCTGGGGCCAAGGGGCTCTGGCTCAGGAAGCGGGCCCTGAAGGCCTAAGGGTGCCAGCTCCCTGCCTGGGACGCCAAGACCCCAGAGCAGTCTCCTCTGCTTTCACCTCTCCATGCTCAAGGGCCCTAGGGGGTGACTGGCCTGGGGGAACTGCTTTCAACCTAATCTGGCTGGGATTCCCTCAGCCCTGTCCCAAGGGCCTCACGATGGAGCCCAGGGT